ATGAGCTTTGGAGGCTAGGACCTGCTTGACTATCATGGCATGGTGGGTGGCTTGTGATCAGTAGAAGATTCTGGTCGTGTGTGTGTGCGTGGAGAGAGAGAAGAGCACCAGGGGCTTCTAGTTTTGATCCCAGTGAGCTCTGGCTTCTAAAAAGAGGCAGGCCCTTCTGTTCATAACTCAGAGATTCCACGGGCAGACCAAGCTGGGCCTGTTTCACAGAGGACATTTAAAAGAACCTCCGTAAAATGGTTACAGGTTAGGTGGCTTTAAGGGCACCAGCCTTCTGCCTTTCAGTTCTTAGCCTGAGGTAGGTTGCAAAGGGGCAGGTTCCTCTCGTGTTCTAAAGCTGGCCCGTTTCTTGACGGGTACACTCCATTGTAAGCCAGGTGAAACCAGACAGCTAAACTGCCAAACCTTTTAGAGGAAAATGGTCTCAGCACTTTTTTGGGGCTGAGGCTGTATGGCCATCAGGGTGAGTCTTTTAAAAATGCTGAGAACAAAACTAAGGGAGGTGCTTCAAGGGGACACTGCCTGGGTCCCCACCAGAATTTACTCTTTGGAGAAGCATAGTAAGGCTCTACGGTTACACAGAGTTTGTCCAAAGAAGCCACAGGATAGTCAGCACACCCCAATTTGTGCTTGGGAGGGGAGTGCACTCAGGACAGCGGGTGAGCAAGGTTTGGGGGCTGGGACCAGGTCTTCCAGTTTACAGAGGGAGGAACGCTTCACGCGCGGCAAGTGCCCGGCGTTCACATGGCCCAACTAGCAGGCTTCTTCCTGGTCCTTCCCCTGCGGCAGTTTGCCCCTCCTGACGGTCACCTCTGCCGTGGGAGTCCTCAACCTGACCAGCCGCCTCCTGCATCAGATCCAGCTCCTTGTGAGGCAGAGGCTTGCTCAGCCCAATCCTTTTTTCAGAGCCTACATCTCCTCTAACAGTTCTCAGAGTTGCATTTCTCTATATAGAAAAGGTAAGTTTTGTTTCTACAGCATCTGTCAAGGCTCTGAAGTCCAGACAATGTATCACCTGAAACAGTCATACCTGCCTGTGTGCCATTTGCTTTACACTGCTGGTGCTCCTAAGGCCCCACACCAGTGTGCTCGATGAAAGCCTCTGGCACTGCGTCTAGTCTGTACAGATGAAATAACCAAACACCTGTAATGAGGAAAATCGCTACCCATTATCCTTCAGATTTTGCTGGCGTCTGGAGACTCGGACCTTCCTCCTTCCATAAATGGAAGGGCTATTTCTTAAAAGGAATGGATTTTATTCAGAATGCATGGTCTTTGCTGGAGAATAGGAGTAACTGGAGAACGAGGGGCAAGGAAAGTGCCTTTAGTTGGCAGTCAGTATCGATGAATGTTATTTGAGAAATACCCCAAAATTGAAATCCTGATCACCATCCTGGCCCAGATTCCTTAGAAACGGGACCCACATGTTTCTGCTGGCCTTTCATCTCTTTTTTTATTTGAGAGAGACAGAAGGAAAGAACGAGTGTGCACAAGCAGGGGGAGCAGGAGAGGGAGAAGCAGGGCCCCGCTGAGCAGGGAACCCGATGTAGGGCTCAATCCCAGAACCTCAAAATCATGACCTGAGCTGAAGTCAGATGTTTGCCTGAGCCACCCAGGCGTCCAACGTGGCCTTTCAAAGAAGACACAAGATGAAGTTAAGAAGGTTTATTACTCTTACGGAAGTGAAAACTTAGAGCTCTGATTTACAGGCTGAGGAGGTATGCGGTTATGCACACTCGTTTCCATTGTTCTACACTGTTACTGGCTTATGGCCAACATTTACTTCTTGTGAGCAGTGCCATCATTACCATTGAGGCAGGCTGCAAAGCTTGTCGTCAGACTGTTTGAAACTTGGCTGTTCTCCAGTGGTTTATATGAACAGTTTGCCCATATGAATAGTGGAGGCCGTAAAGTCTTGACAATACAAATACCAAGGTGTAGAATGATAATCCCATTGAGGGTAAAATACAGAACCAGGTAGGACAGCTACCTTTATTTCTCATTCTGTGCATTTCTTATTCCAGATACATGCAATTTGCTTGCTCTCCATCAGTTTTTAAACTTAATGTGCATGTCCAAAATTTGCAATAAAGAGATGTATCGGTATAAATGAAAGGCCACTTTTAAGTTCTTGGGTAAAAAAACAACTTCTAAAGTATTGCAAATGTCTATCAGAATTTATCATCTGTTATGTTCTCCCTGTCACTGTAGGTCAGATCATAGTACGTAGCCAGTAAGTTTGAAGGCTTGATTTTTTCAATTTATGATTACATTTGATTTCTTATAAGGATATGCAGATATTTATCAGCTTGTGACATACCACGGGGTACATGAATATTCAGGGTTCCACACTACTATATAATGCTGCATTTCTTGGTTTTATTTGAAACAATGCATATTTTTAGCATTTTATGGTAGGATTTTACACTCATCATTTACACAAATTACAAGGTTCTGCTTCAAGTCTTTAAAAAAATTTTTAAAAATTCAGCCCATGTGCAGCACAAGAATATGCAAAACTACTTTACATTATACACACTTTTTATCAAAGGAGATACAAAATTCTGGCTTGTAGTTTTAGACAAATACAAGAAGCTTCAAACTAGACACAAAGGGTTAACATTAATTCTCAAATGTAAGTCTGCACTTTGTGTTGTATTTCTCTGAGATGTGAATATCAAATTCCTAAGGGATTTAACTTTTTCCTTTTTTCAAAGGAAAACTGACAAATGTCCCTTAAGTCCCTCCCCATCATCTCAATCTTTTCATCTGCCTACTCTTCCTTCCCTTAGTGCCAGACGCTTGCCTCGGATTAATGAACCAGGGGGGCCATTTACATACACCTGTGGACCAAATCCTTTTCGCTAAACTCCTCTCTTGCAAAAAAAAAATCAAAGCAGCCACAAACAGATGCAAATGGTTCTGCTACATTATAAATATGACTTAACACTAGGTAATCTAGTCAGCTGTGACTCTGAGTAATCAAAAGGAGTTGAAAAGGTCCCTACCAGTGTGCTTCTTATTGGTGACAGATCAGTGGCCTTAAGAATCAAGATGTCTGATGCTAAGAGCACTTTAAAATCTTTCTAAATATACATGTCCACTGTTTGCTTGAGGGACTTCTCTGATGCTTATGCATAGATACTCTTTTTCAGCATGTTGGAGGCAATATTTTATACTTTCTTTCTAAAGGGTTATGAAGAGGCAACAAGAAGAGTGAGGGCTTTTCTTGCCCTTTTCAAAGGTATTTGTCACTTGTATCCACTGTTCCCTAACCGTCATCTGATACCTCAATGTGTGTACATGCATATTTGGAAGAATTACCCATCTTTCACTGAGTCAATATACAGCCAACTCTTGATTATCTATGAGATAAGTGACATTTACTGCTAGCAAATTTCACATTTAACATCATAATTATTTTCTGACATAGCTCACGTTCGCTCTTTTACATCCCTTGTAGACTACAGCCTCCTAAGACCAAGTTCTAATGCAAGTGTCATTTATGTCTTCTGACCCTCACTAGGAATGTGCAAGGAACCAAGTGAGCACATTCAGTGAGGGGTTGGGAAAGAGCCTCAAGTACAGAATGGGGGGCAGCTACAACTCTGAGCATGAAGAAGGACAAAGTTTAAGTTCCTCCTGATTGGCTCTTGCAATATACTTGGTTTCATTAAGTTTGTGATTTCAATTACGACTGCAAAACCTGAAACCCGAGGCATAGTCACTGTTTTATATAGATAATGGAGAGTTGACTGTAATCATGTTATTTATGACTTTAGCCCTTTACATAAAAAGAAACTCACAAGAAAACATAATATGGTAAAGAGATTAAAAAAGACTACCATATGACATCTAGAAGCATTTATTTTATGCAAAAAACTTAAATATGAGTATGTGTACACAAAAAGTGCACACATTACCTATGCTGAACAATGCCAAGAAACAATATATTGATGCAACAGTTGTCTTCTAAAATAAACATAAAAACTGAGCCCAGACCGGCAGACAAAAGCAAAATACTTATTTCCCATCAGCACAATGCTGAAGCTTGATAGCCATCCTAAACACCTCCAACTTTCCTTACAAAGCTGCCAAAGTCCAACTATTTAAAAAAATTGACTTTTTCTTTACATCAATAATAAAAATCTGGTGACAAACATTATAAAACCAAATGCTGGGCAGTCTTTACTCCTTTAAAATTCCAAATATTCCAACATAATCACAGGAGTAAAAACCATTTTAAAGTGATATGCTTTATGAAACAAACAACAATATGTACATTTATTGCAAATTATATTAAACTAAAATGGAGGGGAAATCAAAATATGAAGTGATATGAAATCAATAATAATTTTAATTATTTTCTCACTCTGATAAAAATCAGAAAGCAACATTTATAAAATTGCCACCACATCACTTTTCATAGCAGGGAACTGAAATCTGTACATCTCATTTTTGCAGAAAAGTAGGCAGGCAGAAAGAATTATACATAAAAGTTTCCAAAAGGAAAAACAAAGAAATATTTAATCTGATCTCTTTTCTTCTAAAAAATTAATTCAGTAGACTTCTATTTTTTTTTGTTTGTTTGTTTTCTGTATAACATGGGAATTCCTGGCTCTAAAATTGATGAATTTTCAGTGTCAGTGTAAGGACATCCTGTTACTTTCTTTAAAATAAAAACTGCAGCATGGAAATCAATGGTGTAATTATGCCTTTAAACTCCAGATATGCAGGAACTGGAACCAAGTGTTAAGCAATTTGCTTAATTATTGACTTTTCCTAAGAAAAGTCTAGGGGAAGGGAAGAATAGAGTTGCTTTAGCCTCTCTCTCAAGAGTTTCTGCTGTACATTTCCATCAAAGGACTTGTGGTCATGTGAAAAGGAAGTAATAGTTTCTTTCAGTTTTCAAGGCAGAAAGTGTGTTCTGAAGTTAACTTCATCTTCTGTTTAGGGACATTTTGAATCCAAGTTTTTGCAGAAGCTGGAGCCTGCTTGGCTTTCATTTTCTCCCTTTGCAAATGAGTTTTCTTTTTACCTTGGGGAGGAGAGTAGAAGAAAGCAAAGTTAGAAAAGACATAAACAGGAAAACACACCAAACCAGAATTACTTCATTTCTATAGTTATTATCTAAAAATCTCAAAATTATTTTCCCATTTTTCATCTGAGACCTTGTTTTAAGGAATCCTTCTCTAAACTATATAAACACAAAATACCAATGAAGAAGTTTTTATTTTCAGCCATTAGGTGCTGCTACCCAACAGCAGATTTGCTTACAATAACAAAACAATAAAAGCTATTTATTTGAAATAACTATAATTTGTCATTAGTATTATCTTAAAATTGTATTACAGAAAAAAAGTTACTGGGCACTTTTTTTAAACTTTTTTTTTTGTTAAATTTTTAGATTTTATTTATTTATTTGAGAGAGAGATAGTGAGAGAGAGCATGAGAGGGGAGAAGGTCAGAGGGAGAAGCAGACTCCCTGTGGAGCCGGGAGCCCGATTCGGGACTCGAACCCGGGACTCCAGGATCATGACGTGAGCCGAAGGCAGTTGCCTAACCAACTGAGCCACCCAGGCGCCCTACTAGGCACTATTTATAAGCAGCAAAAGAAGTTCTGACTTCCGAACTAGGTAAACACATCCATCTTATTTATTTTTTTAAAAGATTTTATTTATGGGGCTGCCTGGGTGGCTCGGTGGGTTAGGCCTCTGCCTTCGGCTCGGGTCGTGATCTTGGGGTCCTGGGATCGAGTCCCGCATCGGGCTCTCTGCTAGGCAGGGAGCCTGCTTCCTCCTCTCTCTCTCTCTCTACTTGTGATCTCTCTCTCTTCAAATAAAATCTTAAAAAAAAAAAAAAAAGATTTTATTTATGTATTTGAGAGAGAGCGCCTGAGCAGAGGGAGGGGTAGGTGCAGAGGGAGAAGCAGACTCCTCACAGAGCATGGAGCCTGATGTGGGGCTGGATTCCAGAACCCTGAGATCATGACCTGAGCCGAAGTCAGACACTCAACCAACTGAGCCACCCAGGGTCTCCCCAAACACATGCATTTCAGTATACCAAAACCAAACCAAAACAAATAAACAAAAAAAACGAGGAAAATTTAGATGCATCAAATCCCCACTGGTCCCATTTCCCCAGTAAGGAGAGACAGTCTGATTTCTGGAAGCATGAGCATGGGGGATATGGTCTCTCTTCTCTCACCTAACTCCTCTTTGGGAGGAGAAAGAACCCATCTATCTAATAGTTGAGAGGCGAGGGGTGGGAGAAACTAAGCATGCTGGGCTTGTCCTCTCCTAGATTTGTTTTCTTTTGCCTCCAAAAGGGGCATTCAGATCTGCCTGTGGTTGTTCAATGTAGAAGCAAGGCATTATTAACCACCTGGCCTGTCATTTCTCCATCTTTCCTTAGCCATATCAGTATTCAAATTGGGTCTCCTTTGCAACAATTCCAAACTTGGCAGAAAGGTAAGGAAGTTGTTTACTTGTATTCCACTACATATGGAATCTTATGGAATCATATTACTAAGATGACAGTGCTTAAAAAACAACCTAAGTGATTAAGATTCTTAAGAAGACTTAATTTGTTATAATATATAAAACAGATTTAATGTTCTATCAAAAAATCTTCCAGAAGCTGCCTGCTGCACCTTCAGGAAGCTTCCCTTTCCCAGCTCTGAGTTCTCAGTATCTTCCTGGGTGCTCTCACAGACTTAAATGATCCAGATCACTGGAAGAATTCCATGCACTTGATACTATGTCCCAAAGTGAACTGTCATCATATCCAAGCACCTGGCTTCTAAGAAATGTCATACTATTTTGATAAAAATTCACCTATTACTGAAAAAGTATTCATATCAAAGTGGTTGTGTAACTCATGAAGATACATACTTAGGGGTTACTATGATTTTAAGATATGAACCCAGGTAATGACAGGAAACTTTCTCAATACACAAATGAGCACAGGAAGTAGGAAATTCTTTGCTTAAAAAAAAAAAAAATCCAAGATTCTTCAACACTTCTACACTAAGCATGCTAAGCAAAACATACTCATCCAAAGAAGGGAAAACTTCAGTCTACTTTCCTATAGATAATTTCTTTATGTTTAGTTTCTTCAGAAGTCCCAAATTTAAGGACTCTTTCTCCACTGGTATCTCCTGATAGTCTCTTCGTTGCGGAAGAATTTAGCCCTGGGGTGCCTGGGTGGCTCAGTCATTAAGCATCTGCATTTGGCTCAGGTCATGATCCCAGGGTCCTGGGATCGAGCCCCGCATCAAGCTCCCTGCTCAGCAGGAAGCCGCCTTCTCCCTCTCCCAACCCCCCATGCTTGTGTTCCCTCTCTCACTGTCAAATAAATAAATAAAATCTTTAAAAAAATATTTAGCCTTAAGTGTAAGCAAAACATACTGAAGAATGAACAGACCTAAAAAATACATTTTCAACGCAAAATGTTTGGACTGTTTGCCATCTGGATAACAGCTCAAAAACAAAGAAAAAACAAGTAAACTTAGTAACTGAAACGCTGATCTACCCTTCACCCAAAACTCAGAAAACCAACATTAATTGTCCAGTTGTCAGATACTGTTTCCTGACCATAAGTAAACAAATGGCTAATTATTATAAACGTATAGGATAAATTCCAGGAATTTTCTCAAGTAACAATTCCAAATATAGCCCAAAATACAGACAGGCACATTTACTGGAACATGCGTGTGTACGTGCACGCACACACGCAACAGCTGAGGGAATAATATATTTGCTGCAAAATTCCAAGGGTATCTAAAAATTCTATAGTTAAGTTTACAAGTAAAATGTTCAGCATCAACTCCCAGATTAAAGAAGCAAAATCTAGGGACGCCTGGGTGGCTCAGTTGGTTAAGCAGCTGCCTTCGGCTCAGGTCATGATCCCAGCGTCCTGGGATCGAGTCCCGCATCGGGCTCCTTGCTCTGCAGGGAGCCTGCTTCTCCCTCTGCCTCTGCCTGCCATTCTGTCTGCCTGTGCTCGCTCTCTCTCTCCCTCTCTCTCTCTGACAAATAAATAAAATCTTTAAAAAAAAAAAAAAAAGAAGCAAAATCTAGGCCAGTAAATTTCTGTATATACTATCCATGTTTTGGATAAAGTATCCACCCTTGAATTAATAAATAAATTATACAAGTAGGAATCATACTACAAGTAATTATTATTGACCTAATATTCTCAGGAAGAGGACCGAGTAAGAGGAATTCTAGAGGGTCAGCGCGCGCTATACACTACAAGTGCTGGCGTGGTATCAGAGCAGCTCTAGAGGCCACCATTTATCAAGAGTCCCACCGAAGAGTGCTGCAGGATTAAACAGGGTGGCGTACAGAAGTATCTAGACTGTGGCTGGCATATCCTGGGGTCCCCAAAATGGTTTTCACTAATAATAAAATCACACAATTGTACTACACGTATCAAGCCAGAAGACGGAGCGAGATTGCGAGGGGTGGTGCTAGCAGGAGGTGCGGCCTGGCCGCCGAGAGCACCCGCGCCCGCAGAGGGCCGGCGAAGACGCGGAGTAAAGCCGACTGGGTAATGTCAAGCGGAGGGGGTCTTTTTGGACGTTATTGTGGAAACCTGTGACCAGAGCAGGAACGGACCAGCTGGCAAGTAACAAATCAGTCAAGTGAAAGGTATGAAGAACAATGCAAGGTTAGGGAAGAGACTGAAGCGGCGTCTGAAGTTACGGCGCGGGGCCACAGGGAGGCACTAGGGCTCGGCGCCCGACCTCACTCCAGGGCAATAAGCGAGCCACCACCCTGGGGTCATCCTGCACTCACAGATTTAGTGTTCGATGGCTCTCAAGCCCCGCCACCCTCTATCTTTTCTTAGCAATCAGCTGCCTGAAATCTTAATGACGACCTGACACAGGACTGGAGGCGCTGGATTAGCTCTACGCTGGGAACTGTAATTATGGGCTTTAATCTGTATGGGATCCACACCAGTCCCAGGCAAATACAGGTGGGATGTCAAATCAATCACAGGTAATACTTGTAGTAAATGAGAAGTATGTTTACTTTTATTTTTTAACTTTTAAGTCAAGTCTATGCCCAACATGGGGCTCGAACTCAGAACCCGAGATCAAGAGTGGCACGCTCTACTGAGCCAGCCAGACGCCCCAATGAGAAGTAGGTTTAATCTTGTAGGAAGGTGGAAGCTACAGTCCCACCATGAAATAAAAATGAAGCCAGTACCTTCAGGATTTTGACCATTTAACATTTGTCCTTAAGCTGAGATGGTTAAAATACCAGCTGAATCACAACTAAGGAACTTTTGACTTGGTGTGCCTATTCCGTCTTTTGGTGGAACTATACGTTATCTTTGACATCATGACACAGTATCTTAAGAGGGAAAACAGAGTTAGGAATGTTCAGTTACTTAAAAAATGTTTCGAAATATGGCAAACTACAGGGGGGACCAGCACACTGGGGTGCTAAGGGATGCTCCTGGGCCCCAAGTCATGCTCTGCGTGGCACCGGCCAAATGCCCACAGTGTGTTCAGGCCTCCTTACCTCTAACCTAGCCTTGTACCTGCTTCATACTGGCTGCTGGCAAGGCAAATAGATGTTTAACAACCTTTCCCTATTATTACTATTATTTTATTAATAAATATGCCGAGCCCCACCCCAAATATATTCTGCACATTATTCTACCCAATGTTCATCAGTCTGACAATGTTCTTAGCATGGGGCGCTTCCTCTTTAAGTGTGTGCTGCTTCCAAGAAACGCTGATCTACTGCTTGGTTTATTCCTCCCTGATGCTGACAAGCAGGGGCTTTTGTCTGCATGCACTCCAGAAGAGGTTAAAAAGATGACGATATTGGTCTGTTTGGCTTAACCTGTGGTTATTTTAAATAAAATAGCTTTAGGGGTTCCTGGCTGGCTCCGCGGGAAGAGCATGAGACTATTGATCGCAAGGTCTTAAGTTTGAGCCCCATGATGGGTACAGACATAACTTAAATAAACTTAAAAATAACTAACTAAACTAGCTTTTTACATAAGAGTTATAAAAATTAACAATGCAAATGGACTCCATTATGGAAACTATTACACTTATGAACTACATTAGCTATTTAAGGTACACAAGAATATAAAGTATAGAAGTATTTTCCTTTTTTTTTTTTTCCCCAGCTTTTATTTATTTGACAGAAAGACAGCGAGAGAGAGGGAACACAAGCCAGGGAAGAGGGAGAGGGAGAAGCAGGCTTCCCAACGAGCAGGGAGCCCCATGCAGGTCTTGATCCCAGGACCCTGGGATCATGTCCTGAGCTGAAGGCAGATACTTAACAGACTGAGCCACCCAGGTGCCGCTAGAAGTATTTTCAAAGCACTCTGTTATACCAGTTTTGTGTGCATGTGTAGTGCCTTAAAAATCAAAACTTAATTTTATTTAAAATACAACTTAGCATGGCAGATACAAACTCTGGAGGGTTTAATCCTGGTCCCAGTATTTATATAAGCAGAGACCAAAAGCTATGTGGGGTCCCTATACCTGGGTTTCCTGTTCTTTGTGACCTGGGAATAATGGTAGAACTTACCACAAAGAGGTGTTTTAAGGATTTAATAGACTAACAAAGACCTTAGAATTGAGCCTGGCTCATAATACTATGTCTAAGTATTGGAGATCATTTTTCATATGTAGCAATTTTTTTGTTGTAATAAAATTTATGACTTAACATTTACCACTTTAACCATTTTTAAGTACAAAATTCAGTGGCATTAAGTACATTCACAGTGTTGTACAATCAAGGCCATTCATTTCTACAATGTTTTCCTCTTCCCCAAATGAAACTCTGTGTACCCACCGAACACTAGAACTTACTACTCCCTCATCACCCTGGCGGCCACCACTCCACTGTGTATACGAATGTGATGCTCTAGGTAGCTCAGATAAAGTGAATCGAACGACATCTGTCTTTTGGGGTATGGCTCATTTCACTTAGCACAATGTCCTTAGGGTTCATCCATGTTATAGGATGTGCTGGAATTTCATTCTGTTTTATGTAGTAATTAAGAAAATCCTAAGAGTGCCTGGGTGGCTCTGTTGGTTGAGTGTCTGACTTCGGCTCGGGTCATGATCCCAGGGTCCTGGGATCAAACCCCACATCAGGTTCCCTGCTCAGCGGGAAGCCTGCTCCTCCCTCTCCCTCTGCTGCTTCCCCTGCCTGTGCTCTCTGTCAAGTAAATGTATCTTAAAAAAAAAAAAAAAAAAAAAAAAAAAAAAATCCTATACGTTTACTGTATCATTCAGCAGACCAAATGCGAAAGTTTTCTGGTTTCTTCTGGAGCTGACATGCTAGGGAAATAAGGGCAAGAACCTTTCCACTTCGGATACATTTGTATCGCCAACACCCAGCACGATGCCCAGCACTCTTATCAGCTGAGTATTCGTTGAAAGAACGGATGACGAGTACCAGGAGCAATACGGATGTGCCTGCAAGGCATTCAGCTCTACACGAGAGGGGATCATGCGCGGTAGTTGGTGGACTATGTGAACTTGCACTCAGCAGTTCATCAGGATTCCAGGCTTAAGTGATAAAGCTAGAATGGAAGGGCAGACTTGTATATCAGGTTTAGGAAAAGATAAAAGGAAGCCTAGGAGAAAGTTTCAGAATGTACTTCTATGTTTTGTTAAATTAGTAGTGGACAGTTCGATCACAAGTTTCTGAAATATGTGCGCAAAATATCTGGTCTATTCTACTGAGTTAACCCAGTACAGTGCTGTCAAGTACATCTCATTCAACCACCTAGCTTCACTGAGAATATGAAACCATCACAGAACTGTTGTTTTGGCTAACACACTGCCCCCTGTGACTTACTAGCCAGCATACTCGAGAACTCTAAGGTGTTTTTCAGTCAAGACATTTTTAGATTTTCAAAAAGGCTCAGTGCTATTTTTAAGCAGTCTCTGGCATGGAAGCTGTTTTTGTTGGTTTGGTGATGTTGGGGCACATCGTACAGCAGAAGTAGAGAGCTTTACCAGGCGCTCATCAGAGACAAGGTCTGGTGGTTACTGAAACCACTTTCAGGGAGCAAGTAAGTACCCTGGATATTTGGGTTAGAAGACAAAAAAAGCACAGTGAATGAGAGGTCAGGTCAGGTGGCCCAAGTGGCCTGTGTGTGGTGATCAGTAGTAATGGAACGGCTAGAATAGAATTTTAGAAACCCTTCAGAAAGTTCTGGCCATCTTGAAGAAACTATTCAACTTCTGTGTAACTGGAAAGTGTATTAAAGGGTAGAGAAACTAGAATTCCAAACCATGTTTACAACAATGACTGAGCACTTATTCTGTGAAAGGCACTTGGTTAAGTGCTTTATATTTATTGATCCATTTAATTCTTAGGACAGTCCTTTGAAGAAGGTATTATTTATTATACTTTCTTTTTTAAGATCTAAAAAATTTTTATTTATCTGACAGAGAGAAACACAGCAAGGGAGGCAACACAAGCAGGGAGAGTGGGAGAGAGAGAACAGGCTTCCCGGTGAGCCCGGAGCTCAATGCGGGGCTCGATCCCAGGACCCTGGGATCATGACCCGAGCCGAAGGCAGAGGCTTTAACCCACTGAGCCACCCAGGTGCCCCAAGACCCCCGCTTTTTAAAAAAGAATTTATCTGTTTGACAAAGAGCAGGAGCGCAGAAGCAGGGAAGCAGCAGAGGGCAGGGAAGAAGCAGGCTCCCCGCTGAGCACAAGTCTGACTTGGGGCTCGATCCCAAGACCTCAGGATCACGACCTGAGACGAAGGCAGACACATAACTAAGGCACCCAGGTGCCCCACCCTGAGACCTTTCTACCCAAAGGCAGCCCTTTACATGAAGGAAAGCCCATGTAACTATGTGAAGGATACTGAGCAAAATTTAGTACTGTCCTTGCTAGTAAGCAGAAATGCAAAACACGATATCCTAATTAAAAATTAACCAAAAGAAACAAGATCTCTCTTCAAACTGGCATCCTGGAGGTTAGGAGATCGAAACCAACGCCGTTATAACCTACTCAGGAAACAAAGGGCTGTTTGCAGACCCAAATGCCTCGGACTTTGGGGGTGCCTGGCACACGCTAAAAAGAAAACAAAACGTCTCAATGCGGTCCAGACAGAACGGCCCCCGTTACCTTTGTAAGTCAATCTGTCTCTCTGCGGGTGCTGCCTTTTTGGCTCCGTCTTGCAGTTTCGGTGCTTTGGCATTACCGGCTTCCAGACCCCCGGGGCTGTCCTGACCGACCGCCGCTCTCTTTCTTCCTTTGCCCAGAGGTTTGTTTATGTCGTCATTTTTGGTTGCGTTGCCCTGAGATTCAGACTTGGGTCGGCGTCCTCTCCTGGCTTTGGAAGGGGCAGGTGGTCCTGACTCATCTACTTTCTCATCTGTTTTTTGCTGGATGTTCTCTGCGCCAGCTGCTGCGACATTTCTTTTCTTTCCTCGGTCACTGCTGATGTTGCCCTGGGTGGTCTGATCAGAAATGATCTCCTGAAAGAGCACAAAATAAGTCTATAAACATAAATTCCTTAAATATCAAGATCTGTACTGGAATGAATTATTTTGAAAGTATTCGCAAGGACCGGGAATTCCAAGGCTTCTAATGAACTCCTTAAGGAAGTTAAGTTTATGCGTATATACACGTAAAAATGGTAAGACAAGAAAAAAAGTAATACGTTACTTTTTAAAAGGAACAAAGACTGCATTAAAAATCATGCACGTGACTGCATTTACACATTTATGCATATTATGTACCTGTGCATATGCTTGAAGAACTCATTAAAAGGCAAATGAAAGAAGAAACCCGTTGGTTAGCCACGGGCACGAGGAAAGAGAAGACTCCTTCCGGACAACAAAGGCGGCACCTCTTGCCTGAATCCATGGGCTCGGTCTTGCTTCTTTTAACCACTTCCTTCACTCATATTACAATCCAATCTCCCTCACACAGTAAATAACAGGAGAGTATGTCCTGACTTTTTTTCCCTTTAGAGATGGAGCGGGGCAGTAGCAAAGGGAGAGAGAATCTTAAGCAGGTTCCACATCCAGCACAGAGTCCAGTGTGGGGCTTGACATCCCAACTCCGAGATCTTGACCTGAGCCAAAATCAAGAGTCGGATGCTTAACTGACTGAGCTACCCAGGCGCCTCAAGAATGTCCTGATTTGTAAACACCCATATCTAGTTTGCTGGATTATTTTTATACACATAGTAAATTGGTTTATGCATTAATCTCTTTGAAAAATTGGTCAGCAAGAAACATTCTCTTAGATCTTTCTCTTCCTTTAGTATACCAACGGGACAGTTTTTTGAGCCTAGAAGACTGAGGATTCAGACTTTGGAAAGAAATGACAACATTAACTTATGGAAGACCTGACTGAGAGATGATTAAGTTTTGTCAAAATATAACTTCTGTGTGTTCAGAGCCGTACCGAAATTTGTTAAAACATTCTTTGGAAGGGTGCCTGGGTGGTTCAGTTGTTTAAGTGTCTGCCTTCAGCTCAGGTCATGATCCCAGGGTGCTGGGATCGAGCCCCACATCAGGCTCCCTGAGCCCCTCACCCTGTTTGTGCTCACTTTCTCTCTCTCAAATAAATTAATGGAATCTATAAAAAAAACAAAAAACAAAAAATAAAAAAAATTCTTAAAAAAATTCTTTGGAAGAATGAAAAAGTTAAAATAAGGGTTTGGAATAATATTATAGATTGATCATAAATTAACATTTTGGCTTCTCAAAAATTAGAATTTAAATATCCCATTTATCCTTTATTAAAGTATAACCGACATATAACATCAATTTATATCTTACATAGCATTTTAGATCACAGGCTAGAAAAATTATAGTTCTTTGTGCCAGATAAACATTTTTATCTCTCGTACCACCCCTTTCTACAAGTTAAGTATGTTTAAATGAATGTCTGTGGCAATATGCATTATTGCATCTAAGTTTGTTTACATCAAGACTGTTTAACTCTATACAAGAATCCCACAATATTCAAGTCTACTGGTTTCTGAATTCCAAGAGTTTTGGCAGTGAGAGGCTCCCTGTTATCTGAGTCTACGCACATACCGAACTTCAGATAACACAAAGCAAGAGGCTGAATAGTGAAAGACTGACTAAAAAAGTATCCTCTTCGGTTCAGTTTGAATTCACATAATGAGTATGCAGAGTTCAGCTCCTGTGGGATAACTGTACCGTCTTGTAGTTTATGTCCCCCAAGGCAACTCCTAGAACATTTGATGAGTATTGTAAATATATGCTGGGCAATAAAAAGATAAATATGCTGAGACTATGATTCTGTAGGAAAAGAGGTGATAGTATTCCCATGCCATTGCTACTGAGGTAAATGACCGGTTTCATTCTACAGATAAACAGAAGCTTAGAGAAGTCAAGCAATCTGTCTAAGTAAACACACAGCCAATGAGTGGCAGAGCCGGGACGGAGACTCAGGTCTGATTCTTACCGTTGTTTTTCTCCTGCCACAGTACTGTTAAGAAAATCGGGTGCCATAGTTATAAGGTCCGCAATAAAGAATGTAGCCATTAAACAAAAACTCAAGTACATTTTAAAAGGTTACTCGTAAATTTAACTTTAAAAAAATATAACAGAAATAAAAACAGCATACACATCCCTTATAGGAGTCAATAAACTTTGAAAGCTCTCCAAAACTGAATTCCTAGTCTTTCCAGTTCTGCGCGCAGCGGTGCAGCAGAAGGACACAGGAGGCGCAGTGAAAGCACGGCAAGAGGCGGAGTGCGCCAACCGAGAAGGCGGAGTCCACAGTCACTGGTCAAGTGGGGGCTGCGTTAACGTCTACCATGAAACCGATAATCTCTGCGAGAAATCCATTTGTTAAATTTTAAAAATTTACCTTATTCTTTACCGGGTCAATATTCTTCACAGGTGTGACAGAAATAATTCTCACAGGGTTCTCTTCATTTTCACTAACTCCAGTTTCTACTGCCTCTGAACTCTGTTCCCTGTTGAAGAAAAATAAACCAAAGCTTCTTTATTTCACACGGACAGAGTGCCTACCCTTTGACTAAGCAATGAGGAAACAAGCATAGGCTAATTTAGAAGCCCAGCCAAATGACGCAACATTAGCAAAATTCTGATCTTCTGTGGTTATAGACCACTGCTGTATTGTATCGTGTTACTGATTCTCTTTAACCTTACTAATGTAAGACACAAATGACTGCCTAAAACCAACAGACAGATAGCTGTTTAGAAACAAAATCATACAACTATTCTAAGAATTTCTCTTGGGGGGAGGAAACCCTTAAACAAAGTAAAAATACAGTGATCAGTGTATTATGAACAGTGCATAGTTGTGTTGTCTCTAGTGTGTAAGTTTTTAATTTTTTTTTAAGATTTTTATTTTTAAGTAACCTCTAGGCCCAAAGTGGGGCTCGAACTCCAAACCCTGAGATCAAGAACTGCGTGTTCCACTGAGCCCGCCAGGCGCCCCTCCAGTCTGTATTGTTATGCTCTGCAAGGAAGAGGGCTGGAAGAAGAGGTCGTAGGGGAGGAGTTTTGAGACCCACCATTTCTGTAAACCACAGACGTTCCATGTTATTTTATTTTATATTTTGGGGTTCTACTGCTAGGAATGTGTTTAAAACAAGCCAACTGAGTTTATAGTTAAAATTTCATGAGTAAGAATAAAAATCTATAAAAGCTTCCATATTTAGTGTTGATAAGAATAAGGTCAGGTAGAAATTTTTATGCAGTTTTATGCAGCTAACATGGTAAAGACCTGATATGTTAAAATAAACATGGAATATTCTTATAAGTAGAAATGTTGTAACAATTTACCTTAACTCATGCTATACTAATTTTGAGTTAAAATTAAAATGCATATAAATTCAATTTAAGAGTTTTATGATCATAGTTTTCCCAAGTGTTCGATTTTTTTTATATAGGCATTTCTATGTAAATTCGTTGTAACATATATTAGATATTCTTAAATTTGGGGCACTTGGGTGGCTCAGTTGGTTAAGCATCTGCCTTCAGCTCAGGTCATGATCCTGGGGTTCTGGGATCGAGCCCCCTATCGGGCTCCCTGCTCAGCGCAGAGTCTGCTTCTCCCCTTAACCTTCCCTGTGATCTCTCTCTCATTCTCACACTCTCTCTCTTTCAGATAAAGAAAATCTTAAAAAAAAGAAAAAAAAGGGAAATTATTTTCCATTTCTGTTCCATTTACTTTTTTACACACTTGGAATGTTACATGGGTTCAAAATTTAATTGTGTACTCTGAATTTCCATCATTAATTATACTAAAAGTCAGCACTACTATTTTATGCCAAAATGTTTCCTAAAGTCTGTTTTTGTGATCTAGTGCTTTAGGTAAAAATAAAATATGAAACAAGTAGAGAGTGATAGTAACAAAGACAAGTGGAGGAAAAACATTGCCTTGATCGGTTTCCGGTTGAAGGGTTTAGCTCTGAATTTACATTAATGTTGCTTCCAGTCTCAGCTCCGGTGCTTCTAACATATGGTTTCCTTCCCGTTGCTGATAAAGGCTTGTTTACTGCACCTAGTACTCCAGCAGGTTTTGGCTAAAAATTACACATATGCATGTTATTTTATACCTTACTGTAGGAATTCATATAAATTTCGACACATGTAAAAGATACTGTTTAGCCTAAGCCAAGAAACTGTTACTTTGGAAAGTTTAATTCTAAATTTATTAGAAATGATAAATTTTGTAAAATTGGGTTCATCTGAATACAAGTCAGAAGTATTACTTCTACTTAAATAGGCAGTATTTAATTATTTCCTACTGTTCAATCAAAATAAAAAGCACCCCTGAAACACACAGCAAAATACATAAGATATAATGTTGTACAAATAAACAATTACAAGTATATAATAACAGTTTAGACACTTATTTTTATCAAAAATTAAATTTCTGTTGCTTTTAGATGTCATAGTACTTTTATAGAATATAAATTATCTAACTCATTAATACTTTAAAATTATTTCTTTTTTTAAATCTTACATATCTAAATTCATTATACCATTTTGCAAGAAAATCTGCTTTGTGGATTCTGAGTAATTTGAAGCCTACTACTACTTATGAGAACACATGATCGTAATTCAAGAGTCACTTAGGGCAGAAAAAAGCCCGAGAACAAGATGCTACAATCCACGATACGGTCCTTAAGAATCAGGAACTATAAATTCCATGGGACATTTAAAAGTTATTTCTAAGAACAGCAGAAATAATATATACATGAGACAAAGATTTCCAAATTATCTAGTACATAATACCTTTCCTGTTAACAGAAGTACTCTGGTCTCTTCTGAAATGTAACTCTTGTCATTACAGAAATCCTACCAAAAAAAAAAAAAAAAAAAAATCAAGTGAACAAGTGTATTTTCACTGTCCAAACAAGACTTTTCAGGCACTGTGCATTACAATAACAATTACATTTGGGCCAGGATACATATTAATTCCTCAAATAAAGCATATTTAAGGAACCATGTCATCAACTCCGGCTTTAACTCAATGGCACATAAGACTTGGCAAATATCAGAGTTCAATTACTTAAATCACATTTTAAATAAAACACATTCCTACTTTTTCATATAGTTCAGGGCAAACAGTCTCCAGGTTATTCACTGAGCTACTTTCTCTACTCTACTGTAAAACCTACTTCATTCCCAAAGCATTCAAAATGGTACAGTGCATATATTAAACACTTAATATTCACTAAAATCACTCCACAATGGATTTCAAGAAAATTATTCTCATTGAAAAAAAACGGTCACTTTCATTGAAAGTACTGTGTTTCTTACAACTGTAAGACTATCCACATCACGTAAGTGAATACACCGCCAAGATATAATCAAGTGAGCTGTAGTGTTCTCTGGCGGCAGTGATGTTTAACAGTTCATCAATGAATTAAACCTGATGTGGACACTCATGTCTTGAAAGTCTGACCTACATGAAACCTAAGAGTACTTTGATGCTTCTGTAAAATATCTGGGGAACAGCACCCATGGGAACCACAATGACGTCATATAAGTCAAGTGATTGACTATGACCAAGAAGTTTATTAATTTTTTAAGTACCCTCACTTAAAAAATTATTTTTGTTTTATTAAGTTTACTTTCAAACTGGTGTCCTAGGGAAGAAAAGATGGTTTATGTGTGCCTATAAAGACATAACAGTTTTAGCATGTGTGCCAGGCACAGCTCTATCTTTTTTTCCCCCCACAAAGGCTTTTGTGCAGCTTAAATCAATGTTACAAAGCCTGGGTACCAACGTTCATTCACTTTATCCATCAAGACATACTGTAGCCTCACTAGGCTCATTATCTCAATATGCTTAGTTTCCTAGTGTTAAATTTATACCAGATTAAAAGCAACATATCAGAAAAGGAAATGAGGAAAGCTGCTTATTGGGGGGAAAAAACAAAAACAAAAACAAAAAAACCCAAACACCTAGTTCTTCAGTATGGAGGTTCCTCAAAAAGCTGAAAACAGAGCTACCCTATGACCCAGCAATCACACTGCTCGGTATTTACCCTATAGGTACAAATGTAGTGATCCGAAGGGGCACGTGCACCCGAATGTTTATAGCAGCAACGTCCACAATAGCCAAACCATCAACAAGATAAAGATGATGTTGTGTATATATACAATGGAATACTATGCAGCCATCAAAACACCTGAAATCCTACCATTTCCAACTACATGGATAGAACTAGAGGGCATTATGCTAAGTGAAGTAAGTCAATCAGAGAAAGACAATTATCATATGATCTCCCTGATATGACGAATTTGAGAGGCAGGGTTGGGGGTCGTGGGGGGTAGGGAGGGAAAAAAATGAAACAAGATGGGGTTAGGGAAGGAGACAAATGGTAAGAGCCTCTTATCTCAGGAAACAAACTGAGGGCTGCTAGGGGTTTGTGGGGGGAGCAATGGGTGGCTGGGTGATGGACACTGGGGAGGGTATGTTCCATGGTAAGTGCTATGAATTGTGTAAGACTGATGATTCACAGACCTGTACCCCTGGAGTAAATAATATATTATATGTTAATTAAAGACAAAAAACAAAAAACAAAAAGCAAACAACCCAGTTCTTAAGAAGGCTAAAAACACTAAGTTTCAGATATCAAAACAAAACCAACTAAACTTTGGTGTACTTACAAATAGCAATTTAATTCTTTGTTTTCTTTTTTAAAAGTAGGCTTCACATCCAACATGGGGCTTGAGCTCACGGCCCTGATCGAGTCCCGAGAATGAGCATCACATGTTCTACTGACTGAGCCAGCCAGGTGCCCCATTTAACACCCCCCCGCCCTTTTAAAAGATTTATTTATTTATTTATTTGAGAGAGAGAAGGAGAGGATAGAGGGAGAGTGAGAGGGAGAAGCAGACTCCCTGCTGGGGAGAGCTCCTGAAGTGGGGTTCGATCCTAGGACCCTGGGATCATGACCCGAGCCAAAGGCAAATGCCCAACCGAGACACCCAGGCACCCCAGCAATTTAATTCTTAATGATGGGATCACCATTATATTTTTTAAAAATTTATCTATTTGACACAGAGAGAGAGCACAAGCAGGCAGAGTAGCAGGTAGAGGGAGAGGGAGAAACAGACTCCCTGCTGAACAGGGAGCCTGATGTAGGACTTGATCCCAGGACCCTGAGGACCTGAGCCACCCAGGCACCCCTTATATGAAGGTTCTATTTGGGTACCATTCTGGTCACAATAACCCTAGGTCAATAATAAAAGTAAATTTAAATTCAAGAGCTCAGGTAGGACTACTTACAAAGACCAGTGCCTATTAAATTAGAGAGCAAATAACTTTGCAATCTTTATTATTCCTATCAAAAACCAGGCAAACTAAGTGCTGAATACTAAATTAAAGAAAATCTGTTTAAAATTTTTGTCAAAGTATGACATTAAAAGTAAGAAGCTCCATTTCCTAGGCATGTTCTGTAAAATAATCTAAGGGAGGGTATTACCCTGAAGCATATCTTAAGGTTTGAAAAATGTGTAAAAAATTTTTAAATGATGTATTTTTTCCAATTAAAAATATTCAGGACTCTGGGGTTGTCTGGCTGGCTCAGTTGGTAAGAGCATGTGACTCCTGACCTCAGGGTCCTAAGTTCAAGCCCCATGTTGGGTATGAAGCCTACTTAATTTAAAAGAAAAAAAAAATTAGGATTCTGTTTTTTAAACAAAGCACAGGAAGGCTGAACTTCCAAATACTTCCTTAAAGCAGGAAATAAATAGAAAACTTAAAAAAAAAAAAAGTTTAGTTGGAAAACAAAGAGCTTTTGTTAGCTGGAAAGTTTACTTACACGGAAGACTTAATTTGCTGATAGCAGAACTAATGATGTCTTATTACTACCATCTACTGAATGCTTACTATGTGACAAACTCTTATAAACATATAGACATGGTATTAATAATTGTTCATAGGTATTATCACCTGAATTTTAGAGAAACAGAAATTGAGGCTTAGAAGAGTTAACCTGTCTAAAGTCCCTTAAGTAAGAAGCTGTTGATTAGAATACTGGTTTATCATCTGCTGAGACCAGTTCTGTTAATTCTAACATTTTATTTCGTGTGTGTGTGTGTGTATATAATATCTCTATTATATATGTATAATATTTATAATATTTATACCATTTTATTTCTTGCCTAATAAAATACAGTGTTTTAATAAAATGAAATGAAAATAATTTAAGAAGTCTGAAAACTCCCTTTCCATACTAGAAATATCTGGAAGGAAGAGCTCACGGAAGAGCACCACCATACAGCTTGATTTGCATTCTCATACTCTGCAAGATGAGAATGGTGTTTGTTCAGGGCTTTGGAAGACAACCTCCCATTCCTTGGTATAAATATGAAGAGGTATTTCTTACTTTGTAGTCAAGACAATCCACTATTTCCCATTAGGGTTGATGGTAACTGAAATTTAAATCAGTTTAGTGTGGTAGAACAATGAAGAGAAAAAGAATTACCTTTTCAGGTTGTGTAAAAAATTTCATTGGAAGGACTGGATCCTTTGGTGATTCTGCATTGCACAAAGCACTTTTACTATTTATAACACAGAGAGCCACATCACATACTGTATAAAGTTTCTAAGGAGGAAAGAAAGATCACATATAACTTTCAGTAGCACAAAATAACCACAAGTACCAATTCTACCTGATGTATAAAATGAAATCAAAAGAGGGATATGCGGGAATTATTTATTCCTCCAACAGTTCACATTTGTGTTTGCATTTCTTCTTATGTAGTCTCCTGGTAAAAACAAAAAATAAAAAACAAACAAAAACACCCTTTACCTAATTAACATGAATGTCGAGTATGCATTAAAAACAAACCAATTCAACTAAACCCAAGGGAAACATACAGAAAGGAGTATCTACTTGTTTGTAACTTACTAAAGATTTTAAGACAGCTACAGAATAGTAAATTTTATTAGTTCTTATCCCCCTGCTCTGTAGAAGTTTTAATGTCCTTTTCAGGGTAATAAACAGTCCTCAAATAATGGAATTCAATTATAATAAAACACAATAAAAATGGACCATAAATACGTATTTTTATGAGCATTCTGTAATCTGATTTATTATGTTAATAGGAAAAACAAGTGGGACAAGGACCATAATACTTTTTCCTGTAATTATCTTAATACATACTGGCCTAACACATATCTTACTTCATTTGTCTTGGATTCATCTGGAGACTGGGCGTCTTTTGTTAACTTGATGTTCTCTGCCATCTTCTTCATGAAGGCGTGGCTATTGTTTTCATTCTTTGTCATTAAAACTTCAAGCATGAACCATAGGCACCTAAATGATGAACATATTTGCCTATTAAGAGACTAAATGTAGGTGCTTTGCTTAATGGATTAAACATCTTATTGGGAAGGTCTGTTGTTTGGATATAACAAAGTAAGAGTAAAATATAAACTAAACCATAAAATATTAAAAACAAAACATAGCTTAATATAAGAAAATCTGGCAGTTTCAGGAGGCATGTAAAGATTCATTCTGTAGGGATTCAGCAGACATTTGGATGATCTGACATGTGTCACTGCCCAGCAACGACGAGGAAACCAGCAGGCAGCAAAGTCTTTCCACTCTATTTGCAAATTGTGCAGGTCTAGGATTTGTGTGGAATTCTGCTGTGACATGGCTCTGAACTGTGTGCGCACGGCAACCAGTCATTCAGCTAAGCAGTCACATCTCAAACTATTTTTGCTTTTCCACTTATTATTGTATACTCATTTAACACATAAAGTATCTGAAGGGAACACCTGAATTTCTAAGTAAAAGTGAATCCCAAATCAGGATGAACATCAGAATCCCTGGGGAACCTAAATCAATAAACCTTGGGAAAGGCCCGTTTGTAATAGTACCCAGGATGATGCTCAGACAGCCAGGGGACTTACTTCTTAACTGCCCTCAATAGGGGAGAAATCATTTGATGATAACGAATGCATACTTCTTTGCCTACATTCTACGTAAATGTTTTGAGAGGCTACTGTAAGAGGGAAATATAGCACTAGGTTAATGGAGTTCATTTTTAATAGACCTGTTTTAGAAGAACTATTAAAGTGAGTCCTTCGGGCTGAAATAAAAGGACACTAGACTGTAACTTAAAACCATAAGAAGAAAGAAAGAACACTAGCAAATACTAGAGGTAATCACGTAAGTAAATGTAAAAGCCAGCATTACTGTAATTTCAATTTTAACTATTTTTACATAAAGACTTTAAAGGAAAATGCATGAATAATTCCATCTATGTGAATGGAAGTAATGTAAAAAGATATAATTTCTATTACAATATCAATACTAAAGGGAGAGGGATAGAGATGTGTAGGACAGTGTTTGTGTACTACTGGAAACTAAGCTGCTACTGTTCAATCTAGGTTGTTACAAATATTATTTGGAATCTCTAAGAAAATAACTAAAAATACACAGTAAAGGGAATCAAAAAGGCTCACTACAAAAAAGTAAATACAAAAGAGAGAAGCTGTAATGAAGGATATTAAATAACAACATATATAAGACAGAGAAAACAAATAGCTGTATGGCAGAAATAAACTTTACCGGTAATTACTTCAAATGAGAATAGATTAAAGCCCTCAATCAAAAGGCAGAGATAAGCAGAATGGAAAAAGAAAAGAGAGAGAAAAAAGATCGACCTATATCTGTCTGCAAGAGACTCACTTTAGAAGTAAAACCACAAAGGATCTGAAAGTGAAAGGATAAAAAACACATTTCATGCAAATAATAACCAAAAGAGGGCTGGTAGCTATTTTATGATCAGACAAAATAGATTTAAGCTAAAAAAAGATTGTAAGAGACCCAGAAGTACTATACTGATAAAAGGTTCAATTCAGCAAAAAGATATTTAGGATTACTATTACATATAAACCTAAGAGTCCCAAAATTACATAAGCAAAAATTGACAGAATTGAAGAGAAATACATGATTCTGCATAATAATCTGAAATTTCAATATCTTAGTTTCTTTTGTTGAAAGATGTATGTATTTATTTCAGAGAGAAAGAGAAAGCATGAGAGTGAGCACGAATGGGGGGAGGGGCAAAGAGAAAGAATCTTCAAGTGGACTCCCTGCTGAGCGTGGAGCCTGATGCAGGGATCAATCCCACAACCCTGAGATCATGACCTGGCCTGAAACCAAGACTTGGACGCTTAACGAACTGAGCTACCCAGGCGCCCCCGCAGTAACTTATTTTCAATAATGGAGAAAAGCCAGACAGAAGATCAATAAGAAACAGAGAACTTAGTCTGATTCAAGATGGTGATGTAGTAAGACCCCAAACTCACCTCCTCTCAGGAACATACTGCATCTAAGCCACATATGGAACCAATTACCTCTTAAAAAACCTAAAGGTGACTGAGTGATGTCTATACATTAGGCATACAAGAGAAAATACACACCAAAATGGGTAGGAGAGGCTGCGACACAATCTCACCAGGAACCCCACACCTGGTGCTGCGACCCACAACTGCGAAAGAACTCAAATACCTGGAGCTTCTTCCTGAGGGGTAAAAGGTTCAAATCCCACATTGTCACCCTAACTTCTAAAACAGGAATTTCAGAGATGAGTCCTTAAAATGTCTCAGAGTGGGCCCCACAGGCCTGTAGTAATCAGAGAAATACCACTTAAAGGGTTTGTGTGCTGGAACTGTCCCATTCCAGGGCCCAGCACAGAAGCAGCTTAAAGTGAAAAACGTTAACCCGCTTAAAACCTAACCCCGAGGGGCAGGCATCCAATTCAACTTACTCATCTAGGAGCCTGCTGGAACGCTCTTCAGAACAGAGACTGGGAGTACCATCTTTACATTCTCCCTTTGTTGTGCTCCAGAGGACGAGAAGCTCCCAGAAGGGAGCCTTTACACATGTCTGGTGCCCTGATTTTTGTGGGTGCTGCCCAGGGGGACATCTCTTGAACACCTGGCTCTGGAGAGCAAAGAAACTTGTGCGTCTGGTCACATGGGAATGTAATAATCACCTAGAAAGGAATTCAGATCCCTCCCTGGGGCCCCAATTTTTGTGAATGCTGCCAAGGGACACTTCTACATCACCTGACACTGGTGGTCATTGGAGCTTATGTTCCTGGGTCCCAAAGGACTGTAACCAGTGCACAAAGAGTGCCTGAAGAGCTACCAGCTACCACCCAGCCCAGGCACAGAAAAAGGCAACTGACCCAGGGCCTGGTTTTTCTGTGAAGTAGGCCTATTAGCCAGTCATCAGAACTGTGACCTGAGGGGCAGGCTTCTAATTAAAACAATCATCTAGAGGCTGACTGAAATCTTTCCAGGGACCTTGGAGGGCAGGTGCTATCCTCATACTCACCCTCTGCCATGCTCCAGAGTAGTGTTTCTTGGAAGGGAGCTTTGAGTCTGGTGCCTGATTTTTGTGCCCGATGCTCCCGGGGCACCCCTTAATCACCTGGCTGTGGTGGCTGGAGGGGCCTGAATTCCAGGGTCCCAAGGGACTGTGGTAATCGGAGGGACCACTGTTGGCAGGCTAAGAGCCTGTTTTTCCTGTCAAAAGGCCGCTCTGTTCTGGAGCTTTGGACAACGGGCAAGACTTAGGTTTGCCACACATTTAGTGGCCTATGGCGCTTCCTCAAGGAACAAAGGCTATAAACGCCATGTTGGTGCTCTCAGTCTTTCTCCAGCTAGTTGCTATCTCCCAGAAGAGGGCTCATATACTCATTTGGAACCCCAGTTTTTACGAATGCCAATTAGGGGACATACCTCAGGATGACAGGCTCTGGTAGTCAGTGAGGCTTATGCTCCCGGGCCCTCAGGATTGTAATATATCTGCGTACTTTTCAGTGCAGCTGCCTGAAGGTCTGGCTTCTAGTCATTCTGAATCTAGGTGCAGAGATCCTCCATTACGGGACACTGACGGCTCTCGGCACATCCTTAACTACGGGGAGCTATTAAAAATATAACTGCTTGGATAAACTCAGAGTTTTGAGAGATGGCCAAGAGCTGGGGAAGAGCTGAATTAACAAGGTTCAACTCCTCCAGAAGGTCATTCCTTCAGGACTAGAAAAGATGGTTGTTTCCTCTACTGTACAGAAACCTATTCAGGGGTCAAGCAAAATGAAGGAACAGAGGAATATGTGTTCCAAATGAAAGAATAAGATAAAACCTCATAAAAAAGCCTTAATGAAAGGAAGGTAAGTACATTTATAAAGAGTTCAACGTAATGGTCATAAAATGCTCACCAAACTGGGGAGGAGACTGCATGAAGAGAGTGAGAACTGGAGTAGGGATGGGATTTAACAAAATACCGAACAGAAATCACACAGCTGCCAGGCGCCTGGGCGGCTCAGTCATTAGGTATCTGCCTTCGGCTCAGGTCACGATCGCAGGGTCCTGAAATCGAGCTCTGCATTGGGCTCTCTCCCTCTACCACTCCCCCAGCTTGTGTTCCCTCTCTCTCTGTCAAATAAATAAATAAAATCTTTAAAGAAAAAAAAAAAAAGAACTCATAGAGCTGAAGGTTGTAATAATGGAACTGAAAAATACAATAAAGGGGTTCAACAGCAGACTAGATATGAAACAGAAAGTAAGGATCAGTCAACCTAAAGGAAAGGCAGTGGAACTTACCCAATCAAAGCAGCAAAAAGAAAAATAACGGAAATAAAAAAAGTGAGAATAGCTTCAGGAAATCAAAGGATATCAAATGGACTAATATTTGAATTGTAGAGCTTTCAGAAGAGGAAGAAAGCAGCAGAAATCTTATTTGAAGAAATATAGCTGAAACTTCCTGAACACAGGGACGGAATCAGACACCAGATCCAGGAAGCCCAGGGAGTTCCAAAACATATGAACCCAAAGAGAACTACACCAAGACACATTACAATTAAAATGTCAAAAGTTAAAGACAGGAAGAGAATATTATAAGCAACAAGAGAAAAAAAAAATGGTTACATATAAGGGAATCCCCATAAGACTACCTAACACATTGTTCAGCACAAACACTGTAGATATAAAAGGGACTTCTTTAAGTAGAAAAGAAAGGCCCTATTTAGTAACAACAACAAATGTGAAATAGTATCACTGGAAACGTAAATATATAGTATAGTAAAGGTAGTGAATTACTTATAAAGCTAGTATGAAGGTTAAAAGACAAAAGTAGTAAAAGTAACTATGATTCAATAATTAACAGATACACAAGATAAAAAGATGCTAACTGTAACATCAAAAACATAAAATGTGGGGAAGAGAGTTAAAATGTTGAGATTTAAGGGCACCTGGGTGGCTCAGTCAGTTAAGTGTCTGCCTTCAGTTCACGTCATGATCCCCAAGTCCCTGGAAGGAGCCCCATACCAGGCTCCCTGCTCCTGGGGAGTCTGCTTCTCTCTCCCCCTCTCCTTCTCTCTCTCAAATAAATAAATTTGAAATTTAAAAGAAAGTTGAGATTTACAATGGGATCAAACTTAAGTTGTTATCAACTTATACCATTATAAGTTGTTGTATGTAAGCACCATGGTAACCAAGAAATAAAAACCTACAGTAAATACACAAAAGATAAAGAGAAAGGAATATAAGCATACCACTAAAGAAAGTCATTAAACCACACAGAAAGTAAGCAAAAGAAGAATAGGGAAGAACTACAAAAACAGCCACAAAACAATTAACAAAATGGCAATAAGCACATACCTACCTATAATTACCTTGAATGTAAATGCATTAAATTCTCTAACCAAAAGACACAGAATGGCTGGATGGATTAAAAAAACAAGACTCATCTATATGCTGCCTACAAGAGACACACCCAGTGAAAGTGAAGAGATGGAAAAAGATACTACATGCAAATGGAAACCAAAATAAAGCTTTAGTATCTACACTTGTATCAGACAATATACTTTAACACGACTGTAATAATACACAAAAAGAGTGACACGTAATGAGAAAGGGGTCAACAAAGAAAGATAAAACCTTTGTAAAAATTCATGCACCCAACGTAATTTAGGAGCACCTAAACATATAAAGCAAATATTAACAGACCTAAAAGGAGAAATACAATAACTGTATTTATCATTTTTGATATATGGGAACTCTAATACCCCAATTAGTCAAATGAACAAATCACCAGACAGAAAAACCAAGGAGAAAAACCATGGTCTTAAATGACATTTTAGACCAGATGGACTTAACAGATATTTACAGAACATTCCATACCAAAGCAACGAATACACATTTTTCTTAAGTGCACATGGAACATTTTCCAAAATAGATCATATGTTAGGCCACAAAACAAGTCTTAATGAGTTTGAGATTGAAATAATATCAACCATCTTTTCTGACTAGAATGGTATGAAATCAGAAATTAATTACACAAAGAACACTGAAAAATTCAAATATGTATAGATTCAACAACATGCTACTGAACAATCACTGGGTCAAAGGAAAAATCAAGAGAGAAATAAAGGGTATACCTGAGACAAACAACAATGGAAATTAACATACCAAGATTTATGGGATGCAGCAAAGGCATCCAACCAGGGAAGCTCTAAGAGTGAAATTCATAGTGATAAACACCTATCTCCACAAAGAAACTAATTTTACACCTGAAGGAGCTAGGAGAAAAGAAGAACAAATAGAGCCCAAAGCTGATAGAAGAAGTAAGGAAATAACAAAATTCAGAGCAGAAATAAGTGAAATAGACTAAAATGACAATAGGAAAAAAAAAAGGATGAGACTAAGAGCTGTTTGAGAAGAGAAAATTGACAAATCTTTAGCTAGACTGACGAAGGAAAAAAGAGGACTCAAAAATCAGAAATGAAAGACGAAAGGTTACGACTAATACCACAGAAGTCCAAAGGACCATAACAGAATGCTATGAAAAATACATGCTAACAAACTGAACATTCCAAAGAAATGGATAAACTCCTAGAAATATACAACTTACCAAGACTAGATCATAGGGAACAGAAAATCTGAAAGACCAATTACTAGAAGGAGATTGAATTAGTAATTGAAAACCGCCCAACAAACAAAAGTCTAGGACCAAATGGCTTCCCTGGTGAATTCTACCAACATTCAACATTCAACATAACAAAGACCATGTATAACATCATACTCAATGGTGATAGCTGAAAGCTTTTCCTCTAAGATCAAGAATAAGACAAGGATATCCACTCTTCACCACTTTTATTCAACAAAGTACTGGAAGTCCTAGCCAGAACAATTAGGCAAGAAAAAGAAATACAGGCATCTAAACTGAAAAGGAAGAAGTAAAACTGTCACTAGTTGCAGATGAGATGGTATTATACACAAAAAATCCTAAAGACTCCATCGAAAAACCGTTAGAATAAACAAATACAATAAAGTTGCAGAATATAAAATCAATACACAAAAATATTGTATTTTTACATTTATAATTATCGGAAAGAGAAATTAAGAAAACATTCCCATTTATAAGTGTATCAAAAAGAATGACACCTAGGAATGTACTTAGCCAAGGAGGTGAAAGATCTATAGATCAAAAGCTTAAGACATTAATGAAAGATACTACAAAACCTAGAAATAAGTGGAAAGATATTCCATGTTCATGGACTGGAAGAATATTGTTAAAATGTCCATACTATTTCAAAGCAACCTACAGATTCAATGCAATCCTTACCAATGGCATTTTTCACAGAATTAGAAGAAATAATTCTGAAATTTATATGAAACCATAAAAGACAAGAGCCAAACAGTGACACAATAAGTTAATAATTTCCACAAAGTTAAAAACCACACTTTGAAAAACATACAGTTTTACACTTCAAATTACATGCTAACTTGATTGTTTAAAGATCCTAAAAAATGTTGTGTGCTAGACAGAAAACATGTGCCAGTGAGTTCATTTCTAACTCCAGTTACTTCTAGTATGTCAGTACTCTTTTTCCCACATCAGTTCTTTCTCATAAGTCTAATCCTTCTTCCACATGACTGCTTTGCAATGAAATATACTAAAACGTCCTCTAGACCTCTAGACCTTATGTCCTAGGCAAACACATAGATCATGTTTTCGTTTTATGGAAGTGCTTTCTGAGAAATGCCAAACTAAAAGTTTTTAAAGAAAAAAACCTGTAAATACAAGTGTAAACATTTACAAGACAAACAAAAATAAGAATTGGAAGACATTTTGGGAATTATTTTATCTCCTGCATGTTATGGGTAAGGTAACTGAGAGCCAGAGAAGTAAAGTTTTTAGTCATACAGCTGGGACTAGAACCTAATTATGTGGCTTCTTAAAATACAGATCAACTAAAAGCCCTAAAATTTTTTTTTAAAATGTAGACTTATTTTCAAGCATTTGAAATAGAAAGACTATATTACTGGGATGATGTACTGGAAGCAGCAACAATGAAATGACAAGCCCTCAAAATGTAAGGAGCTCATAGCCCAATGCTTAACAGTAACGTTGGACAAGATATAACACCTCTTCGAATTAAGATATTAACACATTTTCAGTGACGAAAGCTGTAGGAGGTAGAGATAAATGTTGATTACAAACTTAAATGAGATCAGGATTAAGGTTTAACGCAACACATACAAAAATCGTAATACAATTATCTATTTATTTATTTTTAAAAGATTTTATTTATTTATTTGAGAGAGAGGAAGAGAGAGAGTTCAGAGGGAAAGTGAGAGGGAGAAGCAGGCTCCCCACTGAGCAGGGAGTCTGTTGTGGGTCTTGATCCTAGGACCCCGGGATCACGACCTAAGCTGAAGGCAGACACTCAACCAACTTAACCACCCAGGCGCCCCTATAATACTTTCATATACAAGTTGAGGATACCAGTTTAAGAGTGCAAAGAAAAATCATGATAAGAGGAGAGAAAGTAAACACTGCTTTAAAGTTTCCTGGAGGTCGGAGGCAAGGCAATCAATGTGGTCGTCATTGGCCAGTGGGCCTAACTGTCCCACCTTGTCTCCCTCAGCACAACCCATCAGCTCTACAGCAAACCTCCGAGTAATGAAAATCTGAAACTGTTTGGGAAATTCAACAATCCAAATGACTATGGGCACAGTTATGAAGACTTATCCTGTTGCAGGAATGGTTATGAATCTGACTGACCTCAGAGAGTACATGGCAGAGGCAGTTATGAAGGCCTTTGATCATAAGAATCTGGATCTGGATGTGCCATACTGTGCAGATGTTGTAAGCACAACAGAAAATATAGCTGTATATGTCAGGGAAAACCTCCAGAAATTTCTTCCTCTGGGAGTTCTTTTATAAAGTAAAAGTAAATGAAACTGGCAATATTGCTGTCATCTATAAAGGAAAACTGCTTTTAGGGATTAATACTGTAGAAAGATTAATTTCTTTCAAAGGTCTTTGTACCCTTGCACTATTAAGAAGTCATCACATAATTGTTACACCTCCACATTGTGCTCTGGAGGGCCTGATTTATTGAAATCATTGTGTGTAAGATCTACTGTGAATTCAAATCTATTTTAAAACCAAACTTGTAAAAAACAACCTGAGTATCATTTAAAAAGTCATTTATCTGTAGATTAAAAAATCACTTCATTTTCAGTAAAATGTTGTGGTATGGAATTTAAAAGCAAAACAAATCAATTCTTGTTTCCCCATTAAAAAAAAAAATTATTGGCGGTCATCTGTAGACAAACTTAGGCTGCCTCTCACTCTTTCACCTTGTATCATATATAAAGTTCTGTTTTACACAAGTACCACTTATTCAACAAGTGTTTTTTAACTGTTTACTTGCCTGTGTTTCCACTAGATACAAATCTCTCTGTGACTGGTGTAACAAGGCTAATTTTGTCCTACGATAATCCTGCCACAGAATTTCTCATGTGTACCTGCTTATTTTTAAGGCATCTTTTGAGTATGAAAGTAAAGTTTAGTTTCAAGGAGAGAAATTTTTACTACATGGCTTTCAAAACTATCGAGCTGATGTAACTGAAACCTATCTTAATACAAATAGTGAAAATAATATAAAAACTAAAATAACCAAATTAACCTGTTTCAAAGTCTCAGTTAATTGCAAACAGGAAACAAAAGAATCAAAAAGAACCTGACAGACGGGGGAAATTTTCTAGGATGAAATTCATAATAAACAAAACCACAAAGAAGTTTTTATTTTAATGGGAATAGTAACAGGAAAAAATTTATCATTTTTCAATAAGTAAAAGTTTCTAAAATTCTTGAAAAATCAACATGACTTACTCTTTAATATCACGAAGTTGATCAACATCTTGTGATCTTGTAAAATCTGGATCATGGGCTAGCAGGTGAATCATATATGGAACTACATATTCAGGCAACAGTGATAATAATTTCTCTGGAGTGAAAACATTATTATTAACAACAGTCATAACAGCTTTTACAAAATGCCCCTCTAATTTTGCATTCAAACCACTCCAGTTTCCATCTTTTCCTCAGTTATTTTTAAATTATAGGCAATTTGCTATCTAGAGGATACTGAAATGCATTTCAGTGTTGAAAGTTATTAAAGCCAAAAGGATAATTTGAGATTATACAGTGAGTCCTTCGTAAAGCTGGGAAAATAATTCTCTTCTCTCTGACATCTGAGCAAGGTGTTTAAATCAAGCCATACTGCTGATCCCGTAAGAAAAATACAATTCCTCCAAACAGTTTTATATCTCTTGAATAACACTCAGAAACCAGGATTCTAGATATTAAGTATATCACAACTATAGCGACGGCTGTAGTGTTCTTATAAATATACTACAATGGAGAGATAGGAAATAAACGCCCCCTACAAATCGATACACCCACAAGATACACTTGCACACTTGGAGCTTTCAAAATTACTTACCAGTAGCCATGGGATTCTGTTTAATGTACTCCCTGCGTATGCTGATATTTTTTAGCAAACACTGTCGTGCATGCGCTCTTCTCTCCTTCACAGGATCTTTGGCACACAAGGCAAAGATCGCCATATACTCCAACGGGAGCAGTAGCTTCACGAGAGCCTTATGCAACTTCTGCGCAAATATCTGCCTCACTTGGTAGCACTCGTCCTGCAGCGGCATAGAACCAAAAACACGTCAGTAAAAATGTCAGTACTTTAAAAACCATGACAAAATAACCTAGTTCAGAAAAAAAACTGGAAAACATCTACTAAAGAGCAGTTTGTTCCAAAAGTCCTCATTTTTAAAAAATGATTTATTGGGGAATGCGTAACAATACTTAGAAGATGTTTAGTTAGAATAGTTATAATAGCAGTTCCTTCTGTGCACACAGTAAATGGATCTGTATCACAGAAAGTAAATGTATTCAACTTTGAAGACCAAGTACTTGACAAAAATAAGAGGATTACTTACATTAATAACAAGTGCACAGAGCTGAAACTGTTCTGGGGTTATAATTTCATGGTAACAAGGTTCCTGAGCAAGCTTCATTATGGCACTACCAGCAGCTAATCGCAAGCGAGACATATCAGATTTACTATAAACAAACAAAAAAGAAATAAACATTTCCTATAACCATTATCATTGATAACAATGCTTTGATCCCTTTTTGAGTGTTAAGGTCTTTAACTTTATGCTTAAAATGACATATAATGTACAAATCTGGGAAAATTACCTTGAGTCCTTGAACTCAACACAGGGAAAAAGGCTCAAATCATTGTGACTAACGATAAACTTATCTGCCTTCGTTTTCAGTTATGTTCTAGCATAGATCCTCTACCATAAACAAGCCGTTCTGCTTGTGATCACATCTATGATCACTGCAATGCCAAGAAGAACCATTTCTATCAGGAACACTATTCCTCATTTTAGGAGGAAGACACATTCGTTGTAAAATACTCGATTAAATCACCTATCATATTAAATCTATTTCCTACAGTTTTTAAATGCACATCCATATATACACACGTGTAACATCTGATGAAATGGAGGGGCTAGCAATGAGGAGCTGATTTACACCACAGAAGGGGAGGTATCAGACAAATATCTAAAAGGAAAGGATACGGAAATGAGAGCCAGTGTCTATCTGCGCTACTAATCTCTGCGGCAGACTTCCTTTTGTAAGCCAAAGCCCCCTCCCTCCCCAGGAGGTCCAGCACTTCCACTCCTGCCCGCCAGTCTTTTATTACCTAAATGGTAAAATGTGACAATAAACGGATGAAAGAACAGTCTTATTTCAACTTATGTTAAACATAGCATGGTTATGACGTTTTAAAGACTTCGGGAAATGTGGAAAGCTAGCTGAGTCCATCACTACCATACAAGAGGAGAAAACGTGGCACTCCAGAACAATAGGACTATCGAAGTGAACACCGGTATTCTGGAGGGAACTTCAAATAGCTTCTCAGACAAATGACTGAGGAATTAAAAAAAAAAAACAGCTACCATCTGGGTGCTTAAGTCTGTGCTAGGCAGTGTATGAACACTTCACAGGCTTTATCTCATTTAATTTTCACTCTGTAAGATGAAGAAATTAATGCTTAGAAAAGTGATTTATAGAATTCACACACTTAGTAAACGGAGTATAGAGTTGCAGAAGTTTCTGATTCTAGAGCTCAAGCTAAACCATGCTATATATAATACCTAATTAAGATTTGCTTAATATTTCATGACATGTGTGTTCCACAATTAACTATGCCCTTATTTTCTGTGATGATAAAAAAAACGCTGGAAAGAACATGTTTATATATATGTTTTTGTACGATTTTTTAAAATTATTTCATGAGTGTAAAAATAAAGAGACAAAAGGGTAACATTTATGAGGATCTAGACACAAAGTGCCAAACTGTCCTGCCAAGACTGTGCCAATTTATATTCACAGGACTAATGAGGGGACCCATTTTTCTGAACCCAAAAAGCAGTGATTACTTTAAAAAATATTTTTGCTAATTTGATAGGCAAGTATCGCTAAGTTTAAACTGTATTTACTGTATTTAGTGATGTTAAACATTGTTAAAAAGATAAACTGGTAATTCGTAGTCTTCATCTCTATTGGGGATCCTGCCTATTTGTCTTATTAAAAGCTCATTATTAAGCCTTTGCCATAGTTTCCCCCAATTTAAAACTTTTTATTATCCCTAACTCAGCTCTAATCTTCTAATCTGTTCCTACAAAACTACCCTTGACTTATTCTATGACAAATAATTTTCCATGGTTTCCTTCAGTTTACCAAAGCAGTCAGTATCTCTACTGTAATTTGCTCATTTCCTAATCTCCTCCACTGGAATGCATATTCCTTGGAAGGAGAGATTTTATACCTTTAAAAAAAACCATAGCAGTGCCTAAGATGACAGTGCTCAATAAAAAATGAATGCATAAAAGAATTAAAGATTTAATTCATTTAATCCTGTAATAACACATTTTAAAGTAGGAACACATCACGAGTAGAATTCTATAGTTTTATCTGTTAGTACTCCTGGACCCTAGCAAATCAAGAATTTGAAACAAACAAGGATCATGAAAAATTTGCTTTTATTGTCATCTTAAAATGAATAGAAGAAGAAATGGCAATTTCACAAAACACTGAAAATGTGCAGAAATGGAAACTTTATTTTTTTTTTTTTTCAGTTGCAGAACCTTGTTTTAATCTTCTGCAAACCACCAGGAGGGCTGTGACTTTTTCCTCCTTTGAACTCCTCCACTAAAGCATGTATTCCTTTCATGGTACTAAGTCACCCCCCTTGTTCATTCACTATATTACAGGGTAAAAGACAGGAACTGAATCTTCTCTGTTTTTGCTGCAATGCTTTTCATGGTGTTTTGCAAAGAGTAGTATTTCAACAGTTATTTGCTTAAGTGAACCGTATGTTGAAGCCAACTGTAACATATAATGATTATGACTAAACAATTACTGGAAAAAGTTTGGTCTTCAGAGAAGAAACATTCCATCATCATTGAGATGAAAACCCCATGGAAGTACATTAGATCTGATCCCAAAGCATATGGTGTAATTACAACATTCAGTATTAATTAGGTAAATAATTCCTATGTAAGTTCCACCAACATTTTGAGCTGTAAAAATTGGAAAGGAGGAAAGATCTCACCTGATCCTCTTTTGCTCTGTCAGGTCACCCTCACTAACCAACATCGCTGATAATAATCGAAGAGTTGAATTGGCAGATTTAGACTGGTTGTTTTTCATACCCAACAGCCACCTTACCAGAAGTTTAATTGCCTGTACCTATAAAATATTAACATGCTAAAAAAAGAAAGGAACTTAAAATTCCAATTAAAGGGAAGATTAATTTATGTCAATTAGATAAGTGAGGTTGCTTAATTGCTGGTGGACATGTTTTATTAATAAGTCTGTAGGATAATAACAATAACAGTAAAAATATTTATTCTGTTTAATCTATAATAGGCACTCTCCCCAGAGCTGTACATATATTAACTTATTTGATGTTCCAAACAAGCCTACAAGGGAGGTGTTTTTATTTCTAATAGATAAGGCAATGGAGACACATTACTATTATAGATAACATGCCCAAAGTCTGGCTTCTGAACCCAGGCTTTTCACACTTGCCTACAATGTTCAAATTATTTGAAAATATACTATTTAAAAATAACTATTTAAACTATACCTGTTATAGTCATTAAAATGAGCTATTTAGATAGATCTTAATATTTTTTATAATACTGCAAGAACTATTTTGAAGAAATCATTAAGTCTGATCCTGTCTGTCCTGATTAAAAAAATTAGGAGATTCCATAATTATTTGTGGTCATAATTACCTGTTTATACTCAAAAGATTGCTACCAGTGCATGTCAAAGAACTAGCTAAAGGATCTAGGTGTTATTTACTATATTTATTGACAACCTGGAAAAAAAGAATTGATGGAACACGACTAGGAAGCTACACAAGGTGAAACATTTTAATCAAGGAAGATGGTAGCAAATTAAGTCTTATCTTCAATCCCAATACTACTACTTTAAAAATTAGTTTTATTGAGGTACATTTTGTATCTATCAAAAGTTATGACTTCGATGACAGCATCTGTTTTTGCCAAGTTAATATGCATATTTTTATAGACAGTGGTAGTGAGGCTACACTTGAGAGGCTTTGGAGCATCAACATCCTACAAACAATTTCTGTGAAACAGCCTCACTGAAATTATTTTAGCAGGTGGGAAGTTCTACAGAAGATCCTGACATAGATCTATATGTAAATAACTCTATGAGGACTACAATTTCTTTGAGAGAAACAACTTTTGATTTAAAAATAAAGTACCTCATTTAAAAATACTATTAGTTGCCAGGTTAAAGAAAAAGAGTATCTATGAATGTTCATTATTTTAACACAAAAATTATCAAGGCCTACACAAATTTACCTTTGCTAGTACTTCAGGGGAAACCTCTTCATCTGGAGACCATAATTTTCCATTCTTCTCACCTGTCGACTATAGACAATTGAATATATTTAACTCTTAGAAAGAATTTTAAAGTTTCCTTCATTATGTTTTTCATGCTGAACAATGCAGTGATCTAGGAAACCTTTAAGTGAGTCACCAGAGCTTGAAAAAGAACAACACAGTTGGATGACTTGAACTTCTTGATTTCAAAACTTATTACAAATTTATAGTAATCAAGACAAAATGAGTGGCACTGACACCTATAGGCATATAGAAAATGGAACGAAATAGAAATATGTGAACTCACATATATGGTCAACTGATTTTTAACAAGGTTGCTAAGGCACCCAATTACTTAAAACAAATGGTGCTAGAAAAACTAGATATCCACAAGTTAAAAAAAAAAAAAAGATGAACTTACCTTAAATCACATACAAAAATTAACTCAAAATAGATCAAAGACCTTAATTTAAGAGCTAAAACTATTAAAACACTTAAAAGAAGATACAGGGCAAAATCTTCATCATCTTTGATTTGGCAAGTATCTGACAAGAGTTTAATACTCAGAATATATAAAGAATTCTTACAACTCAGCAATAATGATCCAATTAAAAGTGTGCAAAGGACTTTGAATGTCCAAGAAGATACAAACATGGCCAAAAGCACATGGAAAAAAAAATCCCTCATGATGTTAGTCATTAGGGAAACACAAACCAAAACCACAAGATACTACTTCACATCCACTAGAATGGCCATCATCAAAAACACAGAAAAGAGGAAGCACTGGCAAAGATGTGACAAAAAATGGAAGACTTGTGCTCTGATGGTGGGAATGCAAAATGGTATTCATGTTTTCCATGGTTTCACTATGGAAAACAGTGTGGTGATCCCTCAAAAAGTACAACAAAGAATGACCACGTGACCTAGCAATTCCACTCCTAGGATTTATCTTAAAGATTTGAAAACAGGGACACAAATGTTCACATCAGCATTATTCACAAAAGTTAAAAGGTGCAAAAAGACCCAAATGTCCATTAACTGATGAATAAACAAAATGTAGGCTACACATACAACAGTATTATTCTGGCATAAAATAAATGAACTTCTACTACATAACACAAATGAACCCTGAAGTCATTATGCTACGTAAAATATGCCAGGCACAAAAGGACAAATTTTATATGGTAAGAGGTATCTAAAAGAGGCAAATACAAAGTCAGAAGTACAACAGAGGTGTTATCAGAGGCTATGGGAAGGAGGCAATGGGGGTTATTGATGCAGAATTTCTGTTATAATGGGGGTTATAATGAATGCAGAATTTCTCTCTGAGATTAAAATATTCTGAAAATAGTGGTGACAGTTACACAATATGGGTACATATTTTAGGTGGTACTTTGGGTCATTTTGGAGAGTTTTTTGGCTTTCCTGGGTATTTCCTATGTACAGAGGAGGCATACAGGGTATAAAACTTTCTTATTTTTTAAAAAACCAAACCAAACAAAAACACCCACCCAACAACAAAAACAAGAATGTTGGCGTATATAAGTGATATACGCTTAAAAATGGCAAAAATGCCAATGTTTATATTATGTATATTTTACCACACAAACAACAACAAAAAAGAGCCATTGTAAACTACAATCTAGTCATCTTAAGAGGTGTCCTAAATTTCACATTTATTGCCATTCACATCTATCAATAGAGCAAAACAAAGTACAGCCTGAATGTGTTGAGTGGGAAATGACACTTGGGCCATGCTCTTCCATTCTTGTCTACTACATCCAAATGGGGGAAGGGAAAGAGGATGGAATGTATTGGCAAATGTCCTTTTTAAGTTTGGATATCGAAGGTTCCAAGACTATTGGGTCATGTGGAAGGAAGAGGTAAGCTGGGATAAATTAGCACTGCACTCAAAGTCATCTGCAATGATCAAGCAGGTAAAACTGATCTGTCTTAACAACTTTTTAATTTAGATCTACTTGATAAAGAAGTGATTTTATTTTTTTTTTAAAGTAGTGATTCTTAATCAGAGGTGTGTTTCAGGAATCACCTGGGGTGCCTTTTCAAGCTATATATTCCCAGACTCCAGCCCAGATTTAATAAATTAGCATGTGGGCAACCCCCCACCCACACACTTCAGTAACTAAAACAGAATATGTATCTAGTGCCAAAAATGCAATGTAATTATATTTCAAAACACTAGTTAAATACAAATCCACTCATATTTTTAACAACATCTGATAAAATTCTAGCACTCCAGTAAATCATCCTTCAAACGTTAGGATAATAGCATTTGACTTATATTTTTTGCTTCATGATTCATCCATCTTATGTTCTCATTTTTTCTTTCTTAAATGTTACGTTCTGGTAATAGCTACATGAAGTCAGGATGTCATTTGGAAATTTAAGTAAATAAGGAGGGAAAACACAGTAATTTAAGAGGAAAAGAAAATTAAACAGACACAGAAATGTTTTTGTGATAAAGATGTAAACAGTTTTAGTATCATTATTCTAAATTTAATTAAATTAGAAACTCACCCTGTCGTTCATTAGCAGATCTTTCACAATAAAATTTGCTACTACAGATTTCATCGGGGAAGCAAACTGATCCGGAGCTAACATAGAAATGTGGCCCAATGAAACTAATGGAGTTATAAGCTGTTCTGGTACGTCAGCGTTCAGACTCCTACTGAGTGGCTATAAGAATGAAAGAGCCAAAATTACCAGTTTGTTTTATAAATATCCAGACATTCTATGCAAACAGTAAATGTTCCTGACCCTCCTGAATCTGTTGTGCCCAAACAAAGCTGTTCTAATGATATGATCAAAAGTAGCTTCAACCGTATCAGACACTCAATTCTTATTTCAACTACTGAAATTCGGTAAGAAAGAATCCAGAAAAAAAAGAAAGAAAAAAATAAAGTACACATAAAAGGCAGAAGTAAAAACAAGAACATTTCTGCATCATCAAATCAGCATTATTCTTAAGCCATCTATAATAACAGCCTTGGTATGCTGGTGGACTTGGGACATTTTAAAAACCATGGACCATTAAATAAATGTTCACTGTTTAAAATAACAGGAGTACCTTTCCAGTAGTGGAATCAGGCCAAGGATCATACTTAAGGAAAGGCAAATGGCACTAATTTTCAGGTAGGGTTGTCAGGTACTTTAAAAACTGGGTAGTTCAAAGTTACTTTCTGAGAATACATACCACTGAGCCAATAAAGCTAAAACTAAGTAAAATGTTCTAACACAAACACACAGAATATTCTTCTGTATGTAGTGTTTGAACATATACTATGATCTAAAGGCTGTGAATACAGTGCTCAAAAGACAGCCCATGCTCCCATAGAATTTATAAGACTAAACAGCCCCTCCTCCAAAAAAACTACCTTCTATCTTCATCAAACCACACAGCATAAAAATAACAATCAACATAAACACATCCTATGTATTATATATACCTCAAAAATCTGTGCAAGCTGGACTTCCTTATTTGTGAATATGGCATGTATACAGTGAACAGCCTGTTTTGCTTGGTGTGGAGTACCTCTCTTTGCTTTCTGATGTAAAATGGGAATTAAGGTCCTGTAAAAAAAAAAATCATAGTTAAAAAAAAAAAAAAAGCCCATATACCACAAGTAGTTTTTTTGGTTGTCTCCTCTAATTCCTTTCCCATAGCTGTTTGGATGTATGTTGTTAGAGAAGTTTCTTCTTCTTCTTTTTAAGTTTATTTACGTAATCTCTACACCCAATGTGGAGCTCGAACTCACAACCCTGAGGACTGAGAGATTGCATCCTCCACCAAATGAGCTAGCCAGATGCCCCAGGAAGACTCCCTTAAAAATTAGCTCATCTATAGAAAGATTTAAAGCTCCTTATCTGTCCTCAATTATAATCCAAGAAACAAAATGTCTCAAGAAAAAGGTACTTAAAGGAGACAATTTTTGTTTTAAAGCTACCTCATGAATATGGAGAAATAAACAAGCCACCCTTAGTTTATAATCTAAAATTTGCTCAATGCCATACTTTTGTATTTTCCATTCCCCTTTCACAAGCCCCTTCAGTTATTTTAATGTAGTCATGGGAAAAAAGTAGCAAAAGGCCAAGTTTTATTAAAAAGTTGAAATGATGCCAGTGAAACAAAGCATGCAAGGATATGACACATATATATATATACATATTGGTAGAGGAGTAATAAAAGCATCTAACGATTACTGAGAAATTGTGTAAAGCACCAGTCTAAATGTTTTTACATGAATTAAGTCTATTAATCCTCATAGTCACGCAAGGAGGACTATTGAACGGATATGAAAACTAAGCACAAAAATATTGTTTATTTAAGTTTCTTAAGTTGATGGAGCTAGGATTTGGTGAGGTTGGAATGTGAAGATGTGTACTTCTGTTAAGATCCATGCACTTAACCTCCATTTTGACACTGAAGATCAAAAGTAAACAATCTTGCCTTAGGACAATATGTACTTTATTGTCTTACATTACAGTCTTAAGCATTAAAAGTTGATGATATGGGAAACACTATGAAGAAAACAGCATGTGCATATCAACCTATAAAAGAACAGGTATACACATCAAGTATATAAAATACTTATAAAAGATGCCAAATTGTTGATAGTGACTCTTTCTCTTTTATATTTCCTGAAGTTTCACCTTTTTACAATGAACAAACAAGTATTTTTTCTTAATCATAAGAAAATCTGCCTAAGGCAAAAAAATTTTAAGGAAAGACACTTGTCATTCATTTACTGCAGTGGTCCTATTTTATAGATTGTAAGTCAGTGGTGTCAAATACCATGGTGACAAAAGGTCTTCTCATGAAAACAGAAGGGTAGACATTAAGAGTGATACCCCAGATCCCAGGTCATTCACCTCAGCCAAAAAACTGGAACATATACTAGTCAGTGTATATGACTATATATACGGATTTGACATTTCTGAGTATGCCACATTTCTTTGTATGCAGGTTTAGAATGATAAATTAGGGATTTCTATGCCCAAGTAGCCTCCTTAACTGAGTACTGTCTTTCTCTCACAACCTTATTTACCAGTAACAATTTTTATAATACAAGTAACAAAAGGAGACAGAGCACTGATCAAATTACTGTTAAATGTATTATTTATTCTTCTTAGTCTAATGAAATGAGGATACATATATCAACTTTAAACCTTTTCCTTGTTATTCTAGTGTGCTATAATCTAATGATGCCATCAAGGTTATTGTTAAGGCCTGCATTGTTGTGCTTCTCTGCTTTTCAATGATTCTCCCCTTCCTTCCTCACTAGTCTTATGGATAAGAGGTTTTGGGGTGCCTGGGTGGCTCAGTGGTTAAGCATCTGCTTTCGGCTCAGGGATGGAGCCCCTAGTTGGGCTCTCTGCTCAGTGGGGAGCCTGCTTCTTCCTTTCCCTCTGCCTGCCGCTCTGCCTACTTGTGCTCTGTCATATAAATAAATAAAATCTTAAAAAAAAAAAAAAGATTAAGAGATTTTATTCCTTGTGTCCAAAATTAGCTATTCTATCTATCCCCATTTTTCCACTGCTTCATTTGGGATAGAATTCCTTTACGAATAAATCCTTTACCTTAAAAAAGGCTTCCCAACCTTGTTAAAAACTCACCAGAAATTTTATCCTACTGTGAAATTTTTTTTCTCAATGTACAAATATAAAGATTATTCTCCCTAGACTATAAACTCCTTGAGAACAGAGACTGACTGTGATAATTCTTTATTATTAGCCAGTACAGTTCTGAGAATGAAGAGGATGTACAAAATATTGATTTATTTCTCAAATGAAACTAATAGCTCACAAATTTAATAAAAACTAGGAGTCAGGAGTCCTCTTATCCCATTATTATCCTGTAAGGAAAAACTGGTTTGATTTGGATATATCCGTAACTATTTGCATATACCCTGAACATGTGATTCAATAGCTATCAGCAATGTGTTTTTCCTCCAAAAGACATCTCCCACATCTTTTGTCTAAATATAAACTCTGAGCACAAGTTTGATCCTAAGGCAACCTCTTTAAGATGCCAAAGCAAAAATATCAAAATGTATTTCATTCTTATGATGAAAGGGGAAAGGTAAGCTTGAGGGAGAGATCAAAACTATAAAAGACCACTGCCAATAACCAAGCAACTAATAAGATATGCTGTTAAGCACACTACTTGATTATCCCATTCTTTGGTGAGACATGAAGGTAGCAGCTTTTAATTCAAACCAGCTAGAGGGGAAAAAAAATGAATATATACAGATAAGGAAGATATATTAACCAGAAACTTGAAATTCTGTGAAAACTCCTGAATATTAATATTTAAAAATAATCTTGCTATAAACAAAGTTTCAGTTTGTTCTGCCTAATTTCTTCTTCAGTTTGGTCTTTTAATGGTAGAGGAGTAACATGAGGCAGAGAAAAGATAAAACAAAGGATACTGAAAAGTAGTTTTGTTTTGTTTTGTTTTTTAAGGAGGCTCCATGCCCAGTGTGGGGGGCTTGAAGTCATGACCCTGAATTTAAGAGTTAGATGTTCTACCGACTGAGTCACCTAGTTGTCCCCAGATAAGTAGCTTTTTTTTTTTTTTAAAGATTTTATTTATTTATTTGACAGACAGAGATCACAAGTAAGCAGAGAGGCAGGCAGAGAGAGAGAAGAGGAAGCAGGCTCCCTGCAGAGCAGAGAGCCCGATGTGGGGCTCGATCCCAGGACCCTGGGATCATGACCTGAGCCGAAGGCAGAGGCTTTAACCCACTGAGCCACCCAGGCGCCCGAGACAAGTAGCTTCTAAGTAAAGTTCACTTTCCCCTCTCCTATCTTCCTCCATGAAAGGGAAAACTGCATGGTTCCCACACTTAAAAAAATTTGTGTTAAAAAACAAAACAAAACAAAACAACCCCTTTGTGTTTACCATGAGAAAAAATATACTCACGATCGTATCTGGGGTAGGTCTGTTTCTATTTTGTGGCCTGTATTTCTAAAAATTTGTATAGCAGCTTCTGCTACCTTGTCATCTTCCATTCTGAGGCACTGTAACAGGGACTCATATGTCTCTGCAGAGTGGAACGAGGTAGGATGTGTGAAAGACAGAACCTGGAGGAACAGATACAACTTTAGAAGTATAGACAATGGTTTTAATCCATTAAAAGAAGGTAATTATTTTCTACTATAAATATAATTCAAAATATTGGGCTGCATATGCTAGCTATATAGAATAAAGATTTTATTTCATAGCTTCCTTTAAAATATGTTGCATTTAATGAGACATTAGCAGAAATATAATGCATTAGATTCCTTAAGAGAGCTGATGTATAGCCCTTGCGCTATTTTCTTCTTCCCCTCAGTCTATTCTGATACTGCGAATGCAGAAAATGTGGCTTCTTTTTTACGGACTATGATACTGTGATGTGAACAAAATGTTAACACAAAGCTTTACTTCGCTGGCAAAAAGATACTCTATAAGGGATATTTTAAGTGGAATCCATTACAAAAAGTTCACTGCTTGGAACTATAAGCAAGCCATAATTGTGAACTTTCATCATGATTACAAACGTAAGTAATTATTGCCTTATTTATTTCTACACAAGTTCTAGTCTATCCCAAAGGAATGTACAGCAAGTTAGACATAACGTATCTGCAAAGTTTACTTTCCATGAAGTGGAAACAATTTAGTTAGCATAATATCAGGAATAAAGGCTAAAAGTGGAAAAGTGGGGTGCAGAGGATGGAGTATATAGTCTTCATTAACTTATTCAATAAGCACTTATTTACTCAGTTATAAAGTAAAGAGATGGTCTCATTTGGTTAGGTCCTTGTTGACAGTACCTAGATAATATGTTGACATGTTAATAAATTGATAAGATAAAACCTTGTAAGTTTTACTTAGAAAAAAAATGGGAGAATCAAATTTGAAAAACTGAAGCAACCTATTAAAAATGTTTATCTTAAAGATTTCATTCTTAAAATTACTTTAAAAATGTAACCTCATCATTAAAAATATAATTAGAATTTTTCATGCTAAGCATATAAATTCTTTCCATGAAATTATGTTTAAGACTGTTCCAATACAATCCCATCACTCTCTTTTCTATCTCATGTTCACTGCACTGATTTGTCTTTTCTCACTTAGCTTATATACTGTAGTGATCTAAATGTTTCTTTGCCTTCAATTTCCTCTCCTCTTTACTCCATCTGATGAAAGCTCTGTCAAGTTGTTATAATATTAAAAGACAGAATAAAAAACCCTGATAATACCTTTCTGCTCCATCAGCATTCCACAATCTAAAACCAACCTTGTTTCCTGTTACTCCTCAAAGCAATCCTTTTCTCTGCATAACTAGACTCCCAACAGTTCCTAAAGTATGCCAAAAATTATTTTCTTGTGTTTCTTTGTGCTGTGTTTCCCCTAGATTAAGTCATACCTTGTCCATAAAGGCTTGTTTGACCTGGCTCTTATTAATTGCTCTATTCTCTGAATTCTTTGGCATAAGAATATAAATATGATTAGAAATTGTTTAAAAATTCCCTGATCAGACAGATGTTATCATGTAATTCCTGCGAACATATTCCTACTAGTACAGATGAAAGGTAAGACTGGATTCTTTAGAACATACTGTTACAAGCACATGTTATTAAATACAGGTATGCAAATGATGAATGAAACCGCAAACCTCCCAAATTATTATTGTATAATGTAAAACAATTACATTATTATAATGTAAAATAAATATACTGTTTTTATAAACTATGATTTCTACCACAAATGTTTAATCTTTCAAATAGTTTCCAGTGAAATAAAGCTCAACCCTTGCATATACTTTCTCTTTTTTACATATCCTTAAGGGAGTTCAAATTAAAACTGGAAAGGCATGGAGACAAAATTATCTCAAAAGTACCTTAAGAAGCTCAAGTCCTGAACGAATAGCTGTATCTGGACTTACACCCTCCTCTTCATCATCTGCTGTCCCCTCTATTGATTTATTCATCAGTTTTACCAGTGCACTATTAAAACGAGAAAAATCTAAATTAGTAACCTTACTAGATTAGTAACTGTATCCTAATTGCTTTGTGGCAGAATACACATGGATCTAAACATCAGATACAAACATGCTCCTGGAGGTAAAAGTTATTTTGTAACTTTTTAAACTTTGCTCCCTTTTTGACAGCTGAGCTTATTTTTTTAGTTTCTCTGCCCATACCACCTCCCAAACTCCATGTGTAACTCTACTGCAAACCAACACAACTGAAATTAAAGGACACATACTGGAAATATAATTTAAGTTAATATTGATTTCTATATGTAAAGGTATCATTTACAATCTTAGGAAAAACAATAGATGGCTGTTGCTAAATGAGCAAATGACAATTCACTCAAAGCAAAATGTTGACAAAGATGTTTAAATTAATCTGATAATTAATTTACCAAATCAGTAATTACATTCCTAGAAACTCAGAGCAAAGAAGCAGTTCATCAAAAGCATGTTATATTCATAAATAGGCCCATCAATTAAAAACCATTTAGTTACAAAAATACAGACTCTAAGGGGCACCTGCACCTTGATGTTTATAAGCAGCATTATCAACAACAGCCCAACTGTGAAGAGAGCCCATATGTCCATCCGCGGGAGAACGGATTAAGAGGTGGTACATATATAACACAGAGTACTACTCAGCCATCAAAATAATGAAATCTTGCCATCTATAATGATGTTGATGGAACTAGGGTGTATTATGCTAAGTGAAATAAATCAGAAAGACAAATACCATATGATTTCATTCATACGTAGACCTTAACAAACAAAACAGATGAACATATGTGAAGGGAAAAGAAAAAAAAGAAAGAGAGGGAGACAAACCTTAAGAGATTTTTAACAATAAAGAACACACTCAGGGTTGATGAGGAAGGTGGGTGGAAGATGGGCAGGATGATGGGGATAAGGTGGCCACTTGTGATGAGTACCTGATGTTGTATGTAAGCCAGGAGTCACTAAATTCTACTCCGGAAACCAGTACTGCCTGTATGTTAACTAACTACAATCTAAGTAAAAATTTAAAAAACCATTTAATTGTCCAACATTATGGAATTAGTTTTCAAACATACCTAACCACCACAAAGCAATATTACTTGGTCAATAAAAATCAGGCTTGTAGCAACATGGTATTATTTTAAGTAAAAGGAGATGTGATTTTTAGTTTTGAGTCTGCGTCCTCAAACTGAAGATAATACTACCGTATTTTGAAGGACATTAAATATTACAGCAAATAGCCTAGTACATAGCAAATATTTAACAAATGGAAGCTAATGATAAAAGTTTTAGGTTAAAATTTTTCCTTTGGAAAAACATGCATATTTTAAATTATTTAAAAAATTTTAAGTACAAAATATATAAGATGCACAGATGCATCATCTATACAATTTAAAACACTTTTGTTTCCTTTTTTACATCACAAGAATAATTTAAAAACCTTAAGTATCTTCAATTAATAAAAAATTTTTTTGAGAAAACAAATTAGGGAGGTGTGTAAACATTAGCCTGAAATATAATTTATCATATAATTCACCTATTTAAAATGTGTAATTCAGTGGTTTTTAGTGTATAGTCATAGGGGTGTATAACCATTACCACAATCTAATTTTAGATTTCTTCCCATCCCCCCAAAAAACCTCTTTTCCAACAGGAGTCACCCCTCTGCACTTGTACCTCCTCTAGCTCTAGTCATCTACTAATCTACCTTCTGCTGCCATACATTTGCCGATTCGGAATATTTCATATAAATAAAATACAATATATGGTCTTCTGTGACTCCTTTCACTTAGCGAACTGTTCTTAAGGTTTTTCCATGCTGTAGTATGCATCAGTATTTCATTCACTTTAATCCTGAATACCCTTCCAGTATATGAATATAAGACAATTTACCCATTCATCAATTGATAGACATTTGGGTTGTTTCCACTTTTTTTGGCTATTATGAATAATGTTGCTATAAACATTCATATATAGGTATGGGCATATATTTTCATTTCTCTTGGTCATATATACAGCGGTGGAATTGCTGGTAGCTATAGTAACTTTCTATGTTTTATCTTTTTGACGAACTGCCAAACTGTTTTCCAAAGCCGCTCTATCGTTTTACACTCCCATGGGAAATATACGAGGGTAACAATTTTTTCGCATCTTTTCCAACTCCTCTTTTTGATTACAGCCATACTACTGGGTGTAAAGTGGTGTTTCATTGTGTGTACACACACACACATATTCCCACCTCTGCACAAAAAAAACTGCTTTATGTCCCCTTATGTGGTCAATCTCCTTTTTCCATGCTGGCAATCACTGATCTAGTTTCTGTCACTATAATTTTACCACTTCTAAAATTTCATTAATTTTATGTCTGACATTTTTTATGTGACATAATTCTTTTGATATTCCTTCATGTTGTTGAGTAGAATCAACAGTTTATTCCTTTCTACTGCTGAAAAGTATTGTATCGTATGGATGTATCACAGTATGATTATCTAATTACCAATAGATGGACGTTAGGTATTCCTAGTTTAAAGATAAAAATAAAGCTGCTATATGCAATTAAGTATATGTACTTATGGCAATTTATGCTTTTTTTTCTTTTAGGCAATATCTAGAATTGGGATTCCTGAGTCATATGGTAACATTCTATGTCTACTTAATGTTAAAACCGTCTCTTGTATCATCAACACTTGGTATGGACAGTTATCTTTAATTTTAGCCATTCAAATGGTTGTACAGTGTTATTTCTCACTGTAATCCAGATTTATATTTCTCTAATGAGGAATAATGTTCACTGCCTTTTCCTGTACTTATTTCCTATTTGTGTATCTTACTTGCTGAAGTCTGCTCAAATCTTCTGTCCATTTTTAAATTGTATCGTTTGTCTTACTGAGTAGTAAGAATACTTTTTATATTCTGGATATAATCTTTTATCAGATATATACTTTGCAAGTCTTTTCTTCCACTCTGTAGCTTCGCTTTTCTTTCTCATAATGGTGTCTTGCAAAAAGGAGAAGGTATTTAATTTTCTTTCACTGCTTGTGCTTTTTATGTCCCATTTAAGAGATCTTGTTCACCCCATACTTTGTTTTAAAAGTTTTATTAGCTCTGACATTATATAGTTTTAAAAAGTTATTTTTAATTTGAGAAAAATACTCTGAATTAAACTTTCTGTTAGGAGGAAATGCTATAAATGATACATGTATTTAACAAGATTATAAATGTGTTTTAAAATTTTTATAAATGTATGGGATTATTTGTAAGAGGTCAGCCATGCATTTACTAAGTAAGTTTTACTGACTACCTATTACGTGCCAAGTCTTAGAATCTGTCCTGCAAATATAGTGCAAAACAAGACAGGCATAATCTTTTTTCATTATAATGTGGGCTGATCACCATTATGAGTAGAGCTATAAGTCTTGAAACCAGGACTATAGTCCTTCCTCTCATTAAAGTACTTTCATTTCTAAATTACAGAAATAATACATACTCCATATACTTCACAGGGGTATCATGCAGCAAAAATTATTACCAATTCGAGTACATGTTCAAAACTGCTTGGGAAATCTATGTGTCTCTTTCTCTTCTATGCTGTATAACAATGGATACAAATCTTCACCATTTTACCTCAGGTCTAAATCCTTCCGCTGAGCAGACTACCTACTTTATTTACCTTTAACCTAATAGAGAATAATGGAGGCCCTGAGTGAAAACCAGTTTTCTATACCCCTACCTTCTAACTTTCTCTAATTTTTATCTATTATTTTTTCAAGTCATAGGTGAAGATTTCCTTCTTCCTGTTTCTCTTCTTTAGGGATGCTGCACTATCATAATTCTATTCTATTCTATAGAATATTCTATATTCTATTCTACTCTATAATTCTATTCTATTCCCTTTTCCCCATCTTCAACCTCTCTTCTTTTCTATTAGTACCCCTCAAAGGTATTTCAATATTCAAAATTCCTTCATTAAAAACAACAAAAGACCCTTCTTCAAGTTCACTCCCTTCCCATCATCTCATTTTTCTCCTTTACTTTTTATAGCTGAACTGTCCACAGTGGCTGTCCCACATCCCTATTTATCTCCTAAAGCAGAGTTTCAAAGTGTGACAAGGTCTTTATCCCCTTTGATTTTCTCATACCTAAAGGTTGCTAAGTGGAACCTACTGGGATCCTGTTGAGTCAGGCCAATTGCCTCTGAGCTTGGGCAGTCTCCAATATTAATATCTCAAATATTATCATTTTCTCTGTGTATCATGATATGGATATTGAGAAGGACTATCCTAAGCTCTTCTCAATAGTTGAGTCATCTGGGTTTGCCCTTGCTCCCCCAAAGAAACCATTCTGGCCGTTGTGATGTTTTTCCCTTTTCTAAATCCAATGGATGCTTTTTAGTATCTATCTAACTTCTGGGTAGCATCTGACCCCTCCACCTTTTAGTCTGTCTTTTTTTTTTTTTTTTTTTAAGATTTTATTTATTCATTTGACAGACAAAGATCACAAGTAGGCAGAGAGGCAGGCAGAGAGCGAGGAAGAAGCAGGCTCCCTGCTGAGCAGAGAGCCCGATATGGGGCTCGATCCCAGGACCCTGAGATCATGACCTGAGCTGAAAGCAGAGGCCTCAACCCACTGAGCCACCCAGGTGCCCCTAGTCTGTCTTTTTTGTTATCACTCTTTTCCAATTTTTCTTCCACTGTTGACCATGCCTTCTTAAAATTTTTTTTTTAACTGAAGAACTGTCATATGATATTATATAAGTTTCAGGTATAAAGCATAATGATTTGGAATTTATAAATGTTCTGAAGTGGTCACCACAGTAAGTCTAGTTACCACCTGTCATCATACCACGTCATTAAAAATTTCTAAGAATTTGATGAATTTCTTATCTTCTGCCAGCCTCTTAATTTTCCTTAGGATTCAGTCCTCACCTTTTTCTTTTTAAAATTTACCCTCTCCCTGAGGTTTCAACCATTACTGCAATCACTACTTCACTCTCAACCATTATCTAAAGACAAATAACTAACTGGACCATGCATATGTGTATTTGTATAAACACAAATCTGGAGAAAATATACTAAAGAAAAATTGGTTATATTTAGGATGATTTTCTACTATCCTCATTCCTTTCTTCCAAATTCCTTCCTTATGGTTAAAAGTACATGCAATTTTCTAACTACTTCTTGATTCCTTCTGCCTTTGTTTTGTCTAATTTTTCTTCCTAAAATAGCTACTACTGTTCATTTAGTAATTACGATGTGTGAGGCATTGTGCTAAGTAGTTTATATATCTATGTCATTTTACGCCTCTCAACAATTCCAGTTGTTACTGTAATGTATTATTCTTATTTTAAAGGTAAGAAAATTAAAGCTCAGAGCAGCTTAAATAATCTACCCAAGGACACAGGGCTAGTGGCCTGGGCTGCTCTTCCCCTGCAATCTTTACCTGGCTACCCTCCATAATACCTACTGATCTTTCATTACCCATTTATGTGTGACCTATTTCAGAGCCTTCTCTAACAACAAATCTATCCCACACAATTTGGGTTATCTTACTATCCTTCTCCAGTTTACCCAATGTATTTTACAAACTGCTTCATTAAATATATGTTACGTGAATAAGTAAACCATCTATTTGTAATTTAATAGTCCATGAAGATTTGATTACACAGAAAGAATATCATATGACATATATATTTCTCATTAAAATTAATAAATTGGAATTTTGCATAAAATTAGTCTCTCAGAAACCCTAAGTTGATTTCTCTGAGCCTAAACACCTATGATGTTACTGAAAACATGGAATTTTTGGTCTTTTAAGACTGGAAATTAACCACTAGCTTATAATTTACAAAAGTAATGAAACCCGGGGCACCTGGGTGGCTCAGTGGGTTGAGGCCTCTGCCTTCGGCTCGGGTCATGATCCCAGGGTCCTGGGATCGAGCCCCGTTATCGGGCTCTCTGCTCGGCGGGGAGCCTGCTTCCTCCTCTCTCTCTCTCTGCCTGCCTCTCTGCCTACTTGTGATCTCTGACAGATAGATAAATAAAATCTTTAAAAAAAAAAAAAAGTAATGAAACCCTATGAAGCTTCATGGAAACAAACAGCAAATGCCCTTATATGTCTCTTTCACAGTCAATACACAAAGGCAAAAGTACTACTTACATGTATTACATCCTTGATTTACCCCATTAGAATTAAACGGCATAGAACAAAGGACAGTGACATCAAAATAATAAATCTGGTGGGAATGTAAATGGTATGGCCACTGTAGAAAACAGTATGGAGTTTCCTCAAAAAATTAAAAATAGAAATACCATATGATCCAATAATTCCACTACTGGGTATTTACCCAAAGAAAATAAAAACACTAATTTGAAAAGATATATGCACCCTTTTGTTTACTGCAGAATTATTTATAATAGCTAAGATATGGAAACGACCTAAATGTCCACTGATAGATGAATGGATACACACACACACACACACGCACACAGTGTAATGTTATGCAGCCATAAAAAGAGACAAGGTCTTGTCATTTGCAATAACAGGGATGGACCTAGAGGGTATTATGCTAAGTGAAATAAGTCAGACTGAGAAAGACATATACCATATGATTTACCAATATGCGGAATCTAAGAAAAAAAATAAACAAAAAGCAGAATCAGACCTATAAATACAGAGAACTGATGGCTGTCAGAGGGAAGACGGATGGAGGGATGGGCAAAATGAGTTAAGAGGAATGGGAGATATAGGCTTCTAGTTATGGAATAAATCATGGGAATAAAAAGTACAGCATAAATATAATATAGTTCATGTACATACAATATCATTGTATGGTGATACATGGGAGCTATATCTGTGGTGAGCCATTGATATAGAGATGTTCAATCACTATGTCGTACAGCTGAAACTAATGTAACATTGTGTTTTGAAGTAGACCCAAATAAAAAAAATTAAAAATTACTTCCATCCTTTGGAAAAATAAACAAATAAATCTATGGTTTTTGTCATTACCCAGCTGTGAACAAACCACTTATTCTCTAAAATCCTTAGTTTTATTCACAAGTAAGAAAACTGAATAAAAAGGAATTATCAGTTAAAGAGAAAAAAGACAAACATCGCTGTCATTAGCTCAGTTGTGTACTGTTGAAGTCTAACCTCCAGTACCTGATGTGATTATACTTGGAACAAGGGCCTTAAAAGATATAATAAAAAAAATGAAGTGAAATGTGTGGAGCACTATCCAATATGACTATAGTCCTTATAGGAAGAAAAGATTAGAACACAGACAATGTGAGACCTTGTGAGGAGACAGAAAGAAAGAGGCCATCTGCAAGTCAAGGAGAGAGGCTTCAGAAGAAATCAAACTTGCTGACACCTCTTTCTTGGACTTTGAGCCTCCAAACTGTGAGAAAATTAATTTCTGTTGTTTAAGTCACCCAGTTTGTGGTATTTTGTTATGGCGGCCCTAGAAAGTCAAAACAACTGGCATTTCAATACAACAAAAGCGGTAGTTCACATATCATCAAATAACTAATAGCTAGAACCAGCTCCTCTAATCCAAGGCTGTTTAAAAAGAGAACCAATAAAACCATACCATACCAAACCAAACCAAACCAAACCAAACCAAACCAAGAGGGAGAGAGAACCAGTTAAGTGCTTTGTAATAACCCAACGTGAAAATGAAGACGTATAGCTTATCTATTATGCCAGGCTGCTTAGTGTTACATGTTATCTCTGATTCTCATAATCATCCAACAGGGAGCTATGACAAACATATTGGAGTTAAAAATAAAATGAAAACTCAGATAAATTACTGGGCTTCTTCCAAAGCCACAAAACTGGTATGCAGTAGACACCGGTTATAAAACCAGATTAGTCTAAGGGGAACTTGTGCTCTTTTCAAAATACTATTGTTTTCACGTATTTCAAGTAAACAGTGATATATATTAAAGGAATGTTGTATGGCCATCAAAATGGTTAAGAAAACTCAAAGACTGATTGATATCCTACAGATACAAAATTTTCTTCTTTCTCCATTCTTGATGTTCTAGGTTTTCTTTAATGAGCACATACAGGCTAAAGATAAGAACCCTTAAAAAATAAAAACGCACTGAAGTAAGCCAATGACCAGAAAACAAAGCAGGCCCTTCTTTCAACTTCAATAATACATCCTTCTGCCATTAAAAAGGCATACAGGGGAACTTTTAGGTTTTCTTAGGGACCCAGAATTCAAATTTATAACACTGTGGTTTCAGATTATGTTCTATTTTTGAGTGAATATATTTCCTAGCTTACCTTATGGCTTCTGAATCAATGTGCACAGGTGCAATTCTTTCCAACAGAAATTTGACCATCTCTAGAAAAGGATTTGTTGGCTGCTTAGGATTTGCAAGTTTTCGAGCTATTTCTCTCTATAGAAAGGAAAGATTTTACCGTAAGTGTGATTTTTCAAAATAAGAAGATTATAGGTAACAAAAGCATTTAAAGATCCAAAACCAGCAGAATCTGCTTTAGAGCTGACTAAACTTCTGTCTTAGACCCTGACTAAAATTATATACTCATCAGGTAATCAATGCAAAATCTGGACTGTGGACAACAGAAAGGGGATGACATGGTATGACTTAATGCTTTCTTTCTCAAATTTCTCCCACGAAGTTATTGCTTAGTAAACAATCCTTTTTAATGCTCTACTTTTAAAAGTTAAAAATTTAAACTTTCATGGGTATGTCTTACTAGTTAATTTCAAAATTTACTTCAAACTAATAAACATAATGTTTATTTCATAATAATTTTATAATACGTATTTTATTTCAGTTATTGATTTGTTTTTTTTAAAGAGGGAAAGATTCATAAGTACATAATTTTTTAGTACATAAAGTAACTAACAGTTTTACAAAAAGTAAAAAGTAGTACATAAATAAAAGTGAAAGTAGTACATAAAGTTTTTTTAGTTCTGGAAGAGCATAGCTGATTTCAAAGACAGTGGTATTACATCAAATATCTTCTACAAAGAAAACACATTATTGAAGCAATTTCTAAAATATATAGAGCCTCCAAAGAGAAGGTTAAATTTACAAAGTCCTGGGCACTGGGGAAAGAAGTTTAATAATGAGGCTTTTAATTGAGATCTGTAATAAGTTGATGCAAATTTTGTCTGAGAGGATAAAGCACATTAACAGTGCTTTCCAAAATATAAAAGCACTAACAAATAAGTCACTTTTCATAAAAAAAAAAAGAAAAAAAAACAAAACAAAACAAACCCCAACATTAGTGATACATGTTCAGAGGACAAGGGGAAAAGGAAAAAATTCCTACTGTAGTTTCAGTGACATCTTGACATTAATTATAAAAATATTAAATTTGATACCATCCATATTTGTTAACAGAGCATGTCTCAGGAAAATTTCTTAGTCTTTAAGAGATTCCTGATTTATTTTGCAAGCTGTAAACCAACTCAGCAAAATTTTAGCATTTGAGAAAATAAAAATATTTCAGTTAGTGCTCAGTCCTTACATACTTTGCTCTAACCCATAGGTATACATTTTAAATCTGAATTTAAGTACGTTACTATCTTTTGAAATCAAACTTATTTTGTGTGAATCTCCCTAAAAGGAGATATTTATTCCCTAGTAAAAAAATTTTAATGCTTTAACCTAAGATAAAGTCAGTGATCATTTAATAACAAATAAATCTATTGGAAAATTGCTAGACAAACTATAAAGTCAGTACTTTGGAACAGATTACTAAAAAAGGAAAAACTAGGCATTAGGAGAAACAGTAATGGTAGAAAAAATAAAGGAAATGCCAAAGGGAGTAAGAGTAATTCACAATTACCTAATCAGTTATAACACTATAAAATACACCTAGGTACATAAACAATAACACTAGACACAATAAACTTTTATTTTAAAGTAAAACTTGAAAGTATATTTAAAGTTGGGCGTGGAGCCCAACATGGGACTTTAACTCATGACCCTGAGATCAAGACCTGAACTGAGATCAAGAATGAGATGATTTACCCAACTGAGCCACCGAAGCATCTGACAAAATTAAATTTTAAAACGTGATGATTTTGTATTCCAATATAACCTTACATTTAAGTAATCCCTCATACAATATTTTATGAATGCAATATTTAGGTATTCTTGCATAACAATGATATGTGATAATCTTAAGTGATACTAGGGATAAGCAGCAAGCTAAATTAGTTTGTGACAACAAAAACCAACTAATTATTTTGTAGCAACAAATCAACAGTTTCCTTATTTTCTTTACACAAGAAGAAAAAAGTATACCTACACATAATTTCAGTGCACAAACAAGAAATTTTATAACTGAAAAGCAGTTGACAAAGCTTCAAACAGAAGTAATCATTTGTAATCCTTTTAGGAAATGACAGCGGAAAGAATAAAGAAAATGAATTCTTTCTGCACCCCTGACAATATTTCCAAAATTTCTCACCAACTCCGGTAACAACGCAGATTGATACTACTACTGATATTCACTATTATTTAGTATTTTAAGCACCCTTAACAAGTATCAAGGAAATACAGAAATAGTCCCTATTCTCTCTCTTTTTTTTTTAAAGATTTTATTTGAGAGCACCTGAGTTCAAGAACAAGTGGGAGAGGGACAGAGGAAGAACCAGACTCCCTGCTGAGCAAGGAGGCAGAGGTAGGCCTTGATCTGGGGACCCTGTGATCATAACCTGAGCTGAAGTCTGACACTTTACTGACTGAGCCACCCAGGTGCCCCAACCCCTATTTTAACAAGCTTACAATTTATTAATTTTGTTATTACAAAACAGCTTAAAAAGTCTGCATCTGGGGGCGCCTGGGTGGCTCAGTGGGGTAAGCCTCTACCTTCGGCTCAGGTCATGGTCTCAGGGTCCTGGGATTGAGCCCTGCATCGGGCTCTCTGCTCAGCAGGGAGCCTGCTTTCCCCTTTCTGTCTGCCTGTCTCTCTGCCTACTTGTGATCTCTCTCTCTCTCTCGGTTAAATAAATAAAATCTTTAAAAAAAGAAGTCTGCATCTATATATTCTTTGTTCTTCATACATTTTTCTTTTCTCATTTTGACAATATTTTGTTTGCTTAAAAAAAAAAAAAAACAAAACAGTATTCTTTTACAGTGTTCCCTCTCATATACTTTTGTTTTCCTAATCAAAATGTCCCATAAGAGGATTTTATAGTATCAATATTTTTTGTAGCTGGAAACAGTAAACTAGATAAAGGCAAATTCTCATGAGAAGCAGTTTCTAAAGGTTTAACTTTCATGTTACAGTGACCTGTTGTTTTTGGTTCCCGGAGAGAGACAGAGAGAGATGGGTGGGTTTCCCCTACCAATAAGCAATTCTCCGGACACAAGCAGGATCTCCTACAATTCAGCTCAATTCTGATACTGTCTACCCTGAGGTAGCATTGGTTGGTTCCCAGAGGTTAAGAGTTCAGTCTTAAGGGACTGCTTCCCCCCAACCCCCAGACATCAGTCGAAAGCCCAGGTTGTTACCTACACTTCTGACCAACCGGCTGTAAATCTAGGTTCCCATGATCCCCTCTTTCTTTGGGTTTGACGAACTTGGTAGAGTAGTTCATAAAACTCAGAGCAAAATTTACTTCCCAGATTACTGGTTTATTATAAAAGAATGTAGATCTAGGAAAGAGCCAGAGGGAAGAGATGCACAGGGCAAGGTATGTGGAAAGGACAGAGAACTCCTAATCCCTCTGTGAGCCTGACCCTCTCCCCAAATCTCCACATGTCCACCAACCTGGAAGCCTCACTGAATCTTGTCTTTCTTGTTTTTAATGGAGGCTTCATTACATAGGTTTGATGATCAAATCACTGGCAACTGGTGACTGAACTCAATTTCCAGCCCCTCTGCTCTTCCCAAATGTCAGAGGGTAGTAGGAATGACAGTTCTAACCCTCTAATCATGTGATTGGCTAGGCGGGGAAGCAGTCCCCACCCTTAGGTGAGTTGCCAAAGGAACCATTAACATAACAAAAGACAACTTCCCATCTCTCAGCACTTAGGAAATTGAAGGGTTTTGGGTCTGTGCCAGAAATGGGGGACAAGACCCAATATATATTTCTTACTATAAATCACATCACACCTCATATCTTTCTCACTGAACCATAGAAAGGTTAAATTAAAAGAAAACAGGAAGCACATGATGATTGTTACTAAATAGCGTAAGTTAGCATCTCTCTCTCCTTTTATTCTTTTCTTCTCTACTTCTTCCAGGAACTATACCTATAAACGTTTATACCAACCAGCCTTAAATTTCAGACTTCTAAACACAGCTGCTGCAAGGCCACACATTGTTATCTTCTCCTACCCTTCAAACATATTCCCTGTTAACCTATCACTAAGCTAGAAATACAGCAGTCATTCTTGAAGTCGTGGTCTAATCCCCACTCGCCCTTTAAGATTCGATTCTGCAATCACTTATTCTAAAATAAGCTATTGCCATCTCCATCCCTGCTGTTCCTTTCTGTCACTGAAGTGCAAGATTCTATCAGAATACTTACCACACTGTATTCTCTATTGAAATATTTGCCTGCCTCTGTCACCTAAACTGCAACTTCAATGAGAGACCATGTAGAATGCAATTTACTAAATCCATGTAGTGATCTATAATTGTGTCTATAATGGTGATCAAGGGACAACCCAAAATTTGGCCTTCAGAAGATACAATGCACATTCAGGTAACCCCACAGGGAAGGGTTTTTTAAGGTGTGGTCCATGAAAGACTGGTATCAGAATCACTTTAAGACTGTTAAAAAGATGGAGATTTAGGATCCCTATCCACTTATTTTAAGAATTCCTAGTGTTCGTTATGAATATGTAACACCACAAGAATTACTTTTCATTTGCATCTCACAGGGCAGTGCAAGAGATCTTGTATTAGGTCATATACAAAATTTCATCTTATCTTATTCTAACAATCTTATGAGGTTGGTAATATTTATAGATGAAGAAAAAGGAAGCTCAGAAATATTGAGTAACTCACCAACAGTCAAAATGGTAGTATATAGCACAGCTGAAATTCAAACCTAGGACTGTCTCAAATGTTCAATTAATAAGCTTCCTGGAAAATCTTGAAGTTTAGCTCACACGGAGGTGCTACAGCATAAAAGAGCAAGCAGAGCTCATGCTATGGCAAATATGTGATCCGTCTCTAGGACCAAGGTGTGGAAACTCAAAACCTGAAGTCCAAAGGGAAAGCCAATCTATCCAGCATGTATCATAATACCATTGCTCATTCTCTCTCACTACAGCATCATGTATACATGTATTAATCCACAGTATGTGTCTATTACTCCTTGCTCAAAGTGCTTGATCTCCATTCCCACAAATTCTGTTACTGAGTAACGGTCACCTCTTGAGAAGTGACTGCCATTTAGAAAAAAAGGAAGCGGAAGTATATACACATTAGCAGGGGACAGAAAGGGACTCTCAGAGATGGAACAAAAGCTACATAGAGTGACAGAAAGTAAATTTTGTGTATTTCTTTTTTAAATTTTTTGGGAAGATTTTATTTATTTATTTGGCAGAGAGAGACACAGTGAGAGAGGGAACACAAGCAGGGGGAGTGGGAGAGAGAGAAGCAGGCTCCTTGCTCAGCAGGGAGCCCGATGTGGGGCTGAATCCCAGGAGCCTGTGATCATGACCTGAGCAGAAGGCAGACACCCAACGACTGAGCCACGCAGGTGCCCTAGTGTTTGCGTTATTCTTCTTTATTCTTTTCTTAAAACTTCAGAATGAAACTGTCAGGGAAAGAGGAATGTGATACTAGAGGGTATATGTTAACTAGTACCAGCAGCCCTTGTGGATAAAGACAAAACGATATAGATATTCTGGAAAACAGCAAAAACTCTTGTAACAGTGGTCATTTTCCTGAGAATTTAAAGGGTATTATAAATCCTATTTTATACTCAAGAATATACAGATAAGTTAAATAATGTGCTCAGAATACACAATGCTAATGTAAAAGCCAGAAGTTACTGTGAAACGTCCATCAAAGAAAATAAACTAAAAAACATAAATAGCAGAAATTTTTTCTTCTAGAATAGAGTTCTATTAGCTATTCTGTGGTCCATTTCTTAAAATATCCTCAGAATAACCGCCCTCCTCCAAACCCACCAAAAAGTATCATTACCGTGCTCTTCCCAGTGCAACCGCGGTCCTCATCTCTACTTCGCGGGTTGCTAAAATCAGGAGTGCTGACTGGCTGCACTGCAGGCCGTGGTATTCATCCTGGGATATTTTGGTTACAAACATCTGTTTTACATATACTTTTTGGATTTGGAAACTCTTAAGATATTTATGGTCTGACAAATAGTAGGAATTCATGTTATTTGCAATTTTTTCAAACTCAAGCTCAATTTCTGTTTTCTCAGACCAAAACACCACTTGATTGTTCTTTCTCAAGGTCATTTGTTGAGCAGTACTCAGTTTGTACTGTTTGTACTGGCTCCTCCTACAAACAATGGAATGTATTGAAAGAACACTATTGAGGACCCGTAAGATCTAGACTCTACCTGTAGCTCAGCTACTATCACCAGCTGAAACCTTAAAATTCACTGTCTTTATTTGTAAAATGAGGTAAACTTGTAAAATGAAAACCCTTTCTTTTTTTAAGAGATTTTATTAATTTGAGAGAGCGAGAGCGAGTGAGCGAGCATGTGTAAGCGAGGAGAGGTGCAGAAGGAGAGAGAGAATCTCAAGCAGACTCCGTACTGAGCACTGAGCCCCATGCAGGACTCTATCTCACGACTCTGAGATCATGACCTGGGCCAAAATCAAGAGTTGGACATTTAACCCACTGAGCCACCCTAGTGCCCTTAAAGCAACTATTTCTAAGGTCTTTTCTAAATATTTCATTCTACGATCCAATTACATTAGTAGATACCCTGCAGGACACAGTACTCTAGAACTAGAATACTAAACGCCAAAGACATAAATGCAACCTTTTAACTGTTTTCAGCAAATCACCCTGCTCAGAAGGGCAAAAGCAGAGGCAGTCTGAGCACTGACCACTTTGTATATACATCTATTATAGTCCTCATCTCTTTATACACAAATAATTATTGCACTCTAATTCTTTCTAGAACAAAGTTAGACATAAATATCTGAAATAATTTTCTTTTCTCTTACTCAGCTCTGTAAGCCTGGTCCCAAACACAGTAGTTGTAACATATGTAATATGACAGAAATATAATTTATTTAAATCCTAAAGGGCAGCGCAGGGCCAGGCATTATGATATATATACACAGATACACCCACAAAATTTTCTAATCATGAGTTTTTTAATGTTTATAGATGAGAAAAATGATTCTACAAAATACTGAAGAACTTACTAAAGGTCACACTGGTAGTTAATGGTACAGCTGAAATTCAAACACAGAAAAATGCTGAATAAATGAATGGATGAAGTTTTCCTTCCTGATATTTTCAATGAATACTGGTTTTCTATAAAATAAAGAATCCAGGAATAGAATGAAGACAAAAGCCTAAAAGGAATTACCTTATCTATAAATGCATATATGGCAATGTAACTGTTGCTAATTTCTTGACAAGGGTTATTTCCATGCTAATACGTGAGTGAAGAAAATGCATACACACATAAGCATTTAGAAAATTCTATTTACTTAACAAATGTCTACTAAATACAAAGCATACTGTCCTGCTCAATTCCTAGGACCAACCTCTTTGGCTTAGTTCTCTAGTGTTTTTCCTGGAATTTGGCTAAACAGTGGTAAGAGAGCTAAGCTAACCACAGATACACTTCCGGATGATTTTGAGTTCACAATATTGTTAAATTAACACAAATAATTTATGTAAAGCAGACTTTAATAAAATATAAATTTCAACAAAGCAAAGCTAAAAGAACACGTGCAGAAGTATAATTTACTAACCACACAAACATCTGCCTGTTTGCATGAACAGGTTGGGCTGATTAATAACTCCAGCTGAGATCGCAATTTTTCATCATCACCAAGAACCTGGTTAAATTTCTTCACAAAATCTTGTGCTTTCCCAGGGTCAGGCAAATTCTCTGTAAAATTGAAAGAGAATCCGTATTATAAAAGAAAAACTACCAAACTAAAAGCAAGCTCTCTTAAAAATTATGCTGAGCTACCAAAAATTAATCAGCCTCCCTCGTTCTTAGAAATTAAGATGATTACTTTCTCTTACTTAGTATTAAACTGATAGTCCCATTATGTAAATTATTTGTCTGTTTTGATGTTTATTATACATATATACGGAATGAATAAACAGACTCACTTGCTATGGTCATCAGCTTTCCAAACATCGCAGAACAGTTAGCCTCTGACTGAAATTTAAAACAGAAACAAAAGAAGTCATATGTGCTACCAAATTTCTGTAAGAAAATCCAATTACACATTTTTAAAGAAAAACAAACAAACCAAACTAAACCAAAACAAAAAAACATCACAAACCAGTTGCCAGAAAATCTATACCTTAAGTTGATAACAAAGAACTGTGGAGTGGCAACAACTATTGAGTTAGGACAAAGAGAAGGAAAGGTGATGTCATAAAGAGGTTTTAAATATTAAAAAGGAGTACATAACTTCCACAAGGAAAACATCTTGCCAGAATACTGACCTGAAGATAATGGAAATAATTATCATCAAAATTACTGTGAAACTATACATCAAAGAAAATTAACTAAAATGTTAAGAGTAGAAAAAAATTTCTTCCTATTCTGAATAGTTCTATTAACTATTCTGTGGCCTATTACTTAAATAACCTCAGAATATCCTCTACCTTCCAAAAAGTAATTTTGTATAGTCCAACACAATAATAAAGTATTACTTTATTACTAAATTTGTATGACATGGGAATAATTTGGATCAGAAATTGGTAAACTATGGTCCCATGAACCATCTGTTATTGTTAAAGTTTTGCAGAAACACAGTCACAGTCGTTCATCTACATATTGTCTATGACTGCTTTTGTGATTTTGGAAACAGAGTTGAGCAGTTCAACAGACTTTATGGCTGGTAAAGCCTAAATTTTTGTAATCTGATCATTCATAAAAAAATTTTGCCAACCCTTGTTTTAGCATTAATAGACCCTTGAAGGGTCTCTGTCTACAAGTTCCTAGTTAAGAACACCTATTCTAGTAGCAAACACATTTAGAAATATATTAAGAAATTATTCACATTTCTTTCTCCCATCTTCCAGATGACGTCGGGCAGAATTTTTTTGTTAATTTGACTTTGCCATATTTATAGAATTGGTACCTAATTTGATATTAACTCTACAATGAAGGACCCAAAATCATGGAGTAAAAAAAAGCAAATCATGGTTTCTCATAAAATTTTATCTCGATGCTTAATTCTTATTATTTGAAAATGGATGAACCATATATAAATTCTTAGTATCTAAAATGATAAACTAGAAATTACCATTTATTTGTTCATGCTAGAAAATAAGATTTTGTTATATTCATTTACAGTGAAAATACAGCTTGGAAAACTAGAGAAATTATGTGTAACCAAAATTTGGAAAACAATAATAGTTTTTACTTGCTTCATTATATGTAACTACACAAAAACTGAACAATGACCATAACAAACTATTAATTTAAACAAATCATGAACCTACTGTAGGTTGCTTGTGCAAATCCAACAGTTCTCGTACATGACTTCTAAGCATGTTCTGACACTTCCACATTTCATTGAGAGCTCTGTTAATAAATATGAAAAAATATGTAATATAACAATCTGGTAATTATTCAACTTTACTATTTTTCTTGCTGTATGGGACAGATACACCATGCTTCTCCATCTATTTAAAAATTTTAAGCAGCAGCACCAGCATTTATTTACGGGACTAAGACAGGTAGGTTTAAAATAGTAAATAAAAGGCTTCTTATAAAAGAAAGTATTTAAGAAGTTTTAGGACGATGAATAGGATCTTTCTAGGTAAATGGGGACTGAAAGACTTTTTTTTTTTTCTTTAAAGATTTTATTTGTTTGAGAGAAAGAAAATGCTGTAGTGGGAGGTTGTGGGAGGGGCAGAGCGAGAGGCAGAAGCAGACTCCCCACTGAGCAGGGAGCCAGACGTGGGGCTTGAACCTAGTACCCCGAGATCATGATCTAAGCCAAAGAGTGACACTTAACCAACTGAGTCACCCAGGTGCCCTGGACTGAAAGACATTCTAAGCAGAGGAAACTAGAATGTTCTAGTACAAAAAAAGATAAAATGTTATCAAAATGCCTGGGATAGGTAACAAAATTTTTTTTTTACATATTTGGGGCAGAGAGTGTGAATGAAGTATCATCAGGAAGCAGGAACACACTGCAGAAAAGGATCAGATCATAAAGGCATTTTCATGGTAGGCTGAGGTATGAATGAAGGGCTGCAGAAATGAACTTCACAGAAGTGATGCAGATTCAAGGCATCAAATTTAACTTGAGTATTTATTATTCTAGACTTCCTTCTCTCCATGAAAGCAATTTTTCTTCTCTCACAAACCCAGTTCATAATTCCAGGTGCCCAGAGGGATCTCTGAGATATTAGTCTATGCTGGAGTATTATTTGCCAATATTTTGAAATACAGAGAGATCAAAACCTTAGGCCAGGGATTTACTACCTAGGATGAGCATCAGGAACCACCTGCAAATTTTTTAAATGGCCAATGTCCCCTAATACAATACACTAGGGACCCAACATAAGTTACCTCTGTAGAATTTCTGCTGAAAATGCATAAGCCCAATCTAATAATGAAGAAACACTGGATGAACCCAAATTGTGGGGATATTTTACAAAATTGGACTGGACCATGCAATACTCTTTCCCAATCATCAAAGTTATAAAAGATAAAGAAAGGCTAAGGAATGGCTCCAAATTAAGATAACCAGAGATATGACAATGAAATATACGATCTGTAATCCTAGAATGGAAAATAAAAAACCTCATAAAGCACATTACTGGAATAACTAAGGAAACTTAAATACACATTAGATTAGACAATGATATTGCATCAATGTTAAATCTCTTGATTTTGGTAAGAGTACTCTTGGTCATATAAGAGAGTATCTTGCTCCTAGGGAATATACACTGAAATATTTAGGGGTAAATGGATCTAGTGTCTGCAATTTACTCTCAAATGGTTCAGAAAAAAATATTTATGTAGAGAGAAAGAAAAAGTATATGCAAATGGCAAATGATAAAGCAAATGACGAATCTGGGTAAAAGGCACACGTCATAACACTTTCTACTATTCCCGTAACTTTTCTATAAGCTTGAAATTATATGAAAGTTAAAAGACAAATACATAAAATACAATATACACATATTATAATAATACATACACACACACACACACACACACACACACACGAGCTGAGGTTCTTTTCAGAATAATCGGAATTCTTAGTGACAGGACATGTTTATTTTTTAAAAAGCTTTATTACAATGGAGTGACCACACATTCTAGTTAGCCTGGGACAGTTAACGTTTATGCCAACTGCCGGATCAAAAATATTAATAGCGCCTTTCAGTTTCAAAAATATCCCAGTTCAGACAATCATATGGTCATTCTACACAGGGGTGATCTGAATATACTTTCCTGATTCAGAAGCAGGATTTAGTTCTTAGGATTCGTACTGTAAAGCTCCAACAGTGTAATTTAGATCCCTTTCAACAGGTAGACAAAAGTCATTTTGACAAGGGGATTTCTTTGAATCCCTGAAACTGTGTTACTGACTCAGTTGCCAAATATGTCTACACATACTGGAATTTCTGCTTTTAATTTCTCTGACCTTCTAAAAATTTTTTGTATAAACATTATCTAAGGTTCTTTTTTCCCTTGAGACCATGTGTGAGTGCAAGGGGTGGGTTGGGTGGGGGCAGAGGGAGAAAATCTTAATCAAGCTCCGTGCCCAGCCCCCAGGCGAATAGAGTCAGACCCTTAAATGACTAAACCGCCCTGACTTCTTGATTCAACTAGAAGAAGCAACAATCCCATCAACAATTAGATAAGGCAAAGTAATTTTACAAAATCTTTAACTCCAAACAATCATTTAAAAAGTAACTTACTTGACAGCATTTGGATCCAAACTAGCATATAAATAATATAAGCATTTCATTCTCTCTTCTGTTTCCAAGTTGTGGGGGACAAGATACTGAGCAAAGATTTTCTCTACCAACAGTCTATAAAACAAAAAATCCCAATAACAATTATTCTATTTTTTTTTTTTTAAGAAGCAACAGCCCTTTTATATTCTAACCACCTCATGCAAAGATACCAGATCTATGTGTGTAAATACAGTGGAAAAGATTAGTAGGTGACCAGTTCCTTTCCTTGGAGTATGGTTTTTATTTGATTGTTGGTGGTTCTTGTTTTTTGTTTTTGGAGTACTCTCTATGCCCAATGTGGGGCTTGAACTTGTGAAATCAAGAGTTGCATGCTCTACTGACTGAGACAGGCAGGCACCCTGGGTATAGTTATTTTAAAATTTAGAGCTATGGTTGCTATTGTGGCTTCATTTTTTGTCAGTATGGAACATTTGTTCTAAAAGGGTTTATATGTTATTCCTAAATACAGGGTGCGAGGCTGTGCCTGCTATTCTTCATCACTCCTGAGCTACAGGAAATTACTTAGCAGTCACGGACAGCTAATTCTAAAAAAAAAAAGAAAAAAGAAAGAAAGAAAGACCCCAAAACCAAACCAAAACAACCCAACACCCCCCCCACACACATTAATTTCTTCCAATTACAATCCAACTCCTTTCCCATGAGGTCATCTAAAATCGGGGGGGGGGGGTCTTCCTTCATATTACCACTTCCTGAAAATTTAGCTTTTCCTGTGTGTAGCTGATCTCTCTTCTCTCCACAGTCTAAATTCCTTAATGATACTGGAATAACCATCTTGCTAAGCTTATATTTATTAACTAGAACCACAAGAATAAGACAATACTAGAAATCTTCATTAATCAATAAAATACACAGCCAGTGATGCAGAAGTTATCAGTCTAGTTCTATCAAACACTGCAAAGCACTTTGCAAAAACCAAAATCATTACTACAACCCAATATAGAATTACAAGTAATATTCAGAAAATGAAACAATGTAAGTCCCTAATACAAGGAAAGAAATTTTGTAACAACTATGGGGATGCATGTTAATTTGACATACTGTGGTGATCTCTTCCCAATATATACAAATACAGAATCATTATGTTATATACCTATAATCGTTATGTGTCGATTGTTCCTCAATTAAAAAAACATCAGAGCACTGCCTCTAATGATACCTACTGTGTTGCAAAAAAGTAAAAATAGTAACTAGCAGTTATTGAATAGTCTCATATTGACAGGCTTGGGCTAGGGAGCTTTGTTTTTTTATTTAATCCACATGACCATCTTGTATGGAAAGCTTTATTACTTTTTAGATAAAACCAAGGTGCACAGAAGTCAGCTGTGTATAAGCACACGTCTAATAAGGTGAAGAATGAATATCTGGTCTCTGGTCTGACCCCAAAGCCCATACCCACTTAATTATGCTACTTGACAATTTGTACCAGTCTTATTTAAATATAGAATGTATAAATATGCAGAAAGTGATTTCCAAATTTAGAAACAATTAAAAAATTAAGAAGTATATATGTCAAAAAAAAAATCAAAAGCACTTTTATAGTCATCCATTCTACCAACATGCCAGACTCACTTGTCATCGATGCTATTCTGATAATAAATATGCAAAAGTTTGTCCTTTATCCAGCTGACTTTCTCTGCAGCTTCCTTTCCTGCTTCACCATGAAGACAGTATTTCTTATAAAGCTGAGCCAGACCCATCATAGCTTCTTTTCTTACTCGCCACTAAAAAGTATAAAGTTTATTGAATGAGCAAGATACCAAACTTTAGTATACAAATCTGCAAAAACTGGCATTTCTTCACTAGGTTTTACAATCAGACTTATATGTACCTAAGCTGGCATAATAGTTATTCTCCTAAGAAGCAACAAATTGCTTTACCAGTAATTTTGAATATTCCTATTCATAAATCAGACTATTTAAAAAATTGTCTAATGCAAATACTACTAAATCACCTACCAATTTATTTCCCTCACAGCCAAGCAATCAGTAGTAAATCTTGCACATGATTTCATTAGATTCTGTCTAAAAAATATGCCCAAGTTTTAAAACTGATGAAAACGTAAAAGAGAATGTGATTTACTCTGCAACCAAAAGCCCTATCATTTGTAATGTTTTATCCTAATTACATTCCTTTTGATATTAACTCAGAATAAAAATAAAATTTAGTATCAAGATCCTAAATTACAAAGTTGGAAAGCACCTTAGTGATCATTTTAAGTGAACTTCTTTACTTTATAGATTAAAAGGGCAAATGATTTACCTAGCCACATACTAGTTAGTGGAAGAAGACTCTTTGGGACTTCTAGAGACTGGAACAGTTTGCTAGGAGGAAAGAAAGGTGGCAGGAAGAAGGTCGATAAAAAAAGGAGACTATAAAAACCTACAGTTAGAACCACGACAGTGAGATGTAATTTAAAAAAAAAAACTAGAAAAGATATTTGTCTCAATAACAAATCAGAGCATATGATCTTTGGTTTATTTACATTAATATTTCTTTACAATCTTTTGTATAATTTCTTCATTTTTAGGATATTTAGATGGAATGAAACTTTGTTCCCATATAACAGGTAACTGATGCCTTTGACATTTCACACATGAAACCAAATAATGTAAGCAGTGAAATCTAAGAATAAGTCCTGTCCCCACATTTTACAGAGGAGAAAACAAATTTCAGAAAGGCTATACACAAGGTCATCTAATTTACTGCACCAAAATTGGGGTCCTAAAAAAATATCTAGTAGATGCTATTATGACCATATCACACAGCCTCAGGAAGATTCATTTATTCAACTCTTTCAGAAACTATAAACAAACATTAGCAGAAGCAGGAGTGAAATGTTTCTAAAACGAAGAAATAATACAAATGGTAATACCTTCAATCAAGTGTGTGTATGGAGGTTGGGGCGGGAAAGTTACTAGCTAACCGACAGGTAGAGCTTCATTTCATTTAAATAAAAGCCAAGAGGAAAAACTTGTTCAAAGTTGTAATTACTGATACAGTTGAACATGTTAAATAGCGCCTGCCTGACATACTTGCCTCCTCTACCAAAATAGTTAGAAAGAACCTAAAGAATACCTTTGCTGTATTTTATAACCAAGAAATATAGTTTTACTCTGAAACTACTGCTAAAGGACACTGGTTTTACGAGGACGGTGTGTTTTCAACTATGCCCCAAATAAAACAGCACACTGCAAAGGTAACTGATGTTCAAGTTGTTAATACGATGCCTAATCAGCCTGCCCGGCATGTCTGTCTCTGGCTTACAGCTGACACTATTCCTTAGCAACAGGTTTTGTTGTTCTTAGTACTAGTCTTCCTTAACAAATCATGTTTTTAACTGTAACCAGAGAGAGGAAGTCACACAAAAAAGTATCTGAACATATGACTGTCACTTCAGCCCTTAGCATGGCATAGCGATACAGAAATATCACTTTCATATAAAGTATGATATATTTTTAGCCCAATGAATGATAGATCCAGCTAAGATTATGTGACGCGGTCACTTTTGAAAATGGTAACTGTAAGAAAAACAACATAGGTGATCACTCACTATTCTACTGAAACTCGTAACTGAAAAGGTAAATTAAAACTTTAGAAATAATTTCTTTGTCTTTAGTAAACATTTTAAATATAATAAATTACAAAAGAATAAAATTCCTCAGATTTTACCCGTTTATCCAGTGTTCTTTCTCTTACAAAGCCAAGGAGTTGATCATTTACTAAGGCAAGGTCTCTTTTGGCAGCTGTTATTATAGTAACAATGACATCATGACGAATAGCCTCTTCGGGATCATGTGACCTAACTTTCAAATATTCTGTAATAAGAGAAAAAAACTAAAGCTAAATGTTAGCTATGATACTTGTCATGTTCAGAATGACAGAAAAGACTAACGCTTTAGGCTTCTATCCATACTGAAACAATGTTTACAAAAAGTGGTATGAATTAAAATAATTTTATTTCTGATGTGGCAATACCCTACATAATCACAAAATAAAATACACCACACTATTTCTTACTGGAGTCACATCTTAATAAATAATGTATTTTACTTCAACTATTGTGGAAAAGTCAAATCACAATGAAATACCTGATTTATATATTCAGGATTTAAGTTACAGTACAAATTAAGAGAAATAAAAGAAAAATAGTAAAAATGCTTACAGCAAGTTTGCTGACAGGTATATTTCTGTACATTACACAATATAAAATACATAGTAACTATAATTCTATGACCTCTAAAAAAGATTCTTAAATAATTACAATACAAACAAAACCAAAACAAAAAATGATTCTTCTCTTTTGGTAAAATCATTTATTTGCCAATACCAAACAAGCAAGTTCAAATGCTCCATGTTCAAGTTAAGAATGGGAAATTCTAGTCTACTCCAGGAGATAATCACTTTCCGGGTTATTATTAGATTATGTTTCTAAATTTAATTATCATATAGGTATAATGATTTGTGCCCAAACCCAATGTCTACTTCCTCAAACTATGATTTCCAAAAAATCCTGAAGGATTACAATATGAAGATTTCAAGAGTAATTTTATTATATAAATATAAAAATCACTTATCAGCCCAGGACTGATAAAAAACTGAAGTAGAGGGAGAGTTAAAACCTCTTCAGATACTAAATTTAAGGTCAAAGGTCACATCTAAAATATATTTGTGTGATTACTCTCGTATTTATAATAAATCAGCCAGCTTACCTGTGAGATCCTTTGCTAAATCTGGGTGATTCATTAAACAGTGACTGGCAAATTTCACACTTTCTAATCTCACAGGAACGTGAATGTCATTAAATCTACATGGAAAAGGTTGTTACAGATTAGTTGTAAGGCAAAATAATTATTTTCAAATCTACATTACATAAGTGCCTATAAACAACAGTTACCAATAAAAAAGTGTGTTATTTTATAATAACAGTATGTTCTGAAGGGAGAATATAAAAAAATACATATTTTCACAAAAACATTTTTGAAAACACAATGTTTACCATGCTAAAACAAAAGTATAAATACATCCCCCAATCCAAAATACATACTTTGTAGAGCCCCAAATTTAAGAGCCTAGTTATAACACAAAACAAAAAATAAAAATTTAAAACCTACAAAATGTACTTGAAAAAAGTTAAAAGGGGAAAATACTGGATGAAGAGGTAGAAAACAAATCATATGAGAGGCAGATCTAGAAGTTCAAAGTAAAGTTCATAAATATATGTGTCATAACTGCCTTACAACAAAAAAGTTTCATATGCTGGGATGAACTTGTATTAGAGTACTCTTTCAAAGGTTGAGTATATTGCAAAAATGCAATAAATATGAAACACCACATGTAGATCCCAGCCTGTACATAATAAAGGTAAACTTAGCAACTCTCAAATTTAAAATTATGGGCAATTTAAAAACAATTGTTAATTAAAAAAATCTGTTTTTAAAAAGCAAAACTATTTTTAAAGTAATCTCATAAGATAACCAATTAAAGTTATATAATAAATGCCTTTTTAAAAAAAGATTTTTTTTATTTATTTGAGAGAGAGAGAGAAAAAGAGAGAGAGCACAAGCAGGGGAGAGGCAGAAGCAGACTCGCTGCTGAGCAGGTAGCACTATGCCCCAGGATCCCAGAACCATGACCCGAGCCAAAGGCAGATGCTTGACTGACTGATCCACCCAGGTGCCCCAATAAATGTCTTAATAAATAAAGCTTACTTTTTTCTTACTTTCCTAAGTAAAGACTAAAATTACAATAATTTTAGGATTTATAAATTTTCTTTTTTAAACTTTTTTTTTAAAGATTTTATTTATTTATTTGACAGAGAGAGAGAACACAAGTAGACAGAGAAACAGGCTCCCCGTCGAGCAGAGCCCAATGTGGAGCTCGATCCCAGGGCCCTGAGATCATGACCTGAGCCGAAGGCAGAGGCCCAACCACTGAGCCACCCAGGCACCCCAGGATTTATAAATTTTCTAAATGCCAGAGAAAAATGAAATCATTACCATTTATGATCAACTAAATTATAAAGTATCAAAACACTTATTGCTAAATAATTAAGGAAAATAATACAGTAAAACAGATAGACTGGTAATACTTCTTTGTTTTAATGAATTCAATGAATGAATGCTTCATATGTTGAAATATGAAGGAGACTGATTATTAGAAATAGCAGTGAATATAAAATTATGAATATAAGAAGTTTCTTTCAGTTGATTTAGTTTTTTAAGTAATTGTTTTGCTATAAACATCGAGGCAATCACAAGGACAGAATCACTCCTCTTGTTTATTGACAAGTATAGTTGTTTCATTCCCTCTACTTTAAGTTGCATAAAATCAAGTTTAATTATTCAAAATAGCCAGCATTTACAGACCTTCAAAATGGCCTGTTCTAAGTAAATTAAGATGGTCGGTGTCAGAGATTTCTCAAATATCAAAATATAACTGGCAAATCTAACCTGGGATCATTATAATGAATTTAAGAAAACTTCTAAGCCCACCTTCTGAATCAGCTGAATTAAACAATGATGAATCTTAAATATTTTCCAGAATACTAAGAGGAAAAACAGACTTTTCATGGTCTGAAGCAAGAAACATGTAAATGGAATGCAAGAGGGAATTTGATAAATTTCAAAGATATTTTTCAACGTTATCATCAAGTTGAATAGATCCTAATAATTCTAAGTTCTTGAGAAGGAACATTAAAAATTATCTGAATCAAGAGCAACGTCATTTTCAATTTCAAAATTGTACTATAATACCAAATTAGTTCATAACATACATCATTCAATTAGATAAGTTACAGACCTAAACAATAAACACTAGTAAACGAATACATTGTTGGACTGAAAAATGGCATGGACTGGATCATTATGTCTTCAGTCTCATGATTTAAAAATCTTAAGATGGAACATTCTCAGATATTGCCTATCTATTTATTCTAATGACATTATTGTAGCACAGAAAGATTAAAAAGTGTTATGTGGTAAATAATAAGCATTCTTCATAAAAAATCTGATGTGTAATTTGTTCTCCAAGAAAGAGCAACAGATACTTAAAAAACAAACAAACAAACAAAAAACCCACCACATATAATTAAAGTTTTGGTACGTGTGGTTTTAATCAAATGGACCATACTGACTGGCCTCCAAAACATACAAGTCAGAATCCATAGAATTATATGTTCTCTTACCGTCCAAGAAAACACTGCCAAAGAGGACGATTCTGTGTTGCCAAATCAGAATCTTTAGAACCAAATAATTTAGCTAAAAGTCGAACAACAGCTAATCGCTCTTCTCCATCATTGCTCTAAGGAAAACGAGAAAATAAATGAAGCCAAAGTTTATTCATCAGATTATAGAAAACAACATGTATCATTCCTGAGAAGCTACAGTTTCCTATTTCCACTTAAACAACGATGAGAACTTTAAAATATCATATGTTCTCATTTACTATGTGGAAATTGATGTAATTCCATGTCACATCATCTGGTTCTTTGTTCTTATTTTACACCCCCTCCAAATGCTAATTTATGCCTACTTCACTGCTTATTTGCAATCTACACAGACACTGTAGAAATACTAAGATAATCATTCAATTCTAACATTCCCTAAAGAGTCTTGGAAAAAATTCTGTGAAAGGCAAAGCTGCAAATAATTCCCACCCGGTAAGTTTTCTTTTCTTTCTTTCTCTTTTTTTTAAGTAGGCTCCACACCCACTGTGGAGCCCAATGTGGGGGCCTGAACTCACAGCCCTGAGATCAAGAGTGCTTAACAGGCTAAGCCACCCGGGAGGCCCCCATCCTACTAAGTTTTCTTATAAGAAATCTTTCTGCCATTTGAACTCCAACATAAACTCCTATCAATTAAGGTTTTGATATATGACATTTTAATCAAGGATCCCCTAGGGACACCGGGGTAGCTCAGTCAACCGGGATTCTGCCTTTGGCTCAGGTCATGGTCTCAGGTTCCTGGGATCCAGCCCCACATCAGGCTCCCCGCTCCCCCCCGCCTCTCTCTCTGTCCTCCCCCAGCTCTTGCTCTGGTTCCCCCACTCTTGCTCTATCTCAAATAAATACATAAAATCTTGAAAACAAACAAACAAAACAAAAACAGAGATCCCCTAAGTTACTAGAGAATATAACACTGAAGAATGTCATGATTCAGGAAAACTCACTTTTATTTTTTAAAAGATTTTATTTATTTATTTGACAGAGGGAGACAGCGAGAGAAGGAACATAAGCGGCGGGGGCGGGGGGATGGAGGGAGAGGGAGAAGCAGGCTCCCGTGGAACCCAGACACGGTGGGAGCAGACATGGCGCTTGATTCAAGAACCCTGGTATCATGACCTGAGCCAAGGCAGACGCTTAACAGCTGAGCCACCCAGGCACCCCAGGAAAACTCATTTTAATAGAATAACAAGAATATTAAGAAGATCTAAAAGGTCAGCAAAACAGAACATTATAAAAAAATCAAAACTTAGTTTGAAATTTTTTTTTTGATAAAGACCTCCAATTTTCTTATCCTGAATCAATATATGCTATGAATTGTTTCAGTTTCACTAGTGATGTCACATCTTACTATAAATTAAGTTATTCTGAAACCATGTGATAGGTCAGACTTTAAAAATCACATATTGACTAGGAAAATAAAGGCAGTAGCAGAAAGCAATTGCTAATTTTCTCCACCATTCATATACAATGTGTGTCTACAGTAATACCAGAAATCCAATAAAAAAATACTCATGGAAAAAGCAGGTTAAAAAAATAAAGAACATGGGATATGGTCTTTGTTATGAATAGTTTACCTTTCAGGAAAAGGGTTTTTGTGGGTAAAACAGGCACCCTTATCAAAGAGGTAAAGATGAAAATGGTATCAAGCTTTAACATTTGTAATTAAAAAAACTGTTTTCTTTGACAAAGTTTTTCCCAAGCAATGTGCCCACAATGCAGATTAGGACCTTTTAGTAAATCCAATCAACTAACCAACACGACTTATTTTCTTGAAGAAAAATCAGTCTACTGACTAAACGTCAAAAACTAAATTAAGTGGAAGTTTTATCCTACTTGTTTGTGACTACTTCAGTGACTTAGTGATTATTTCAAACGATGTGACATTTTATATTTATATTTTTAACTAGTGAAACTGAGTGACAACTTGCCCTCCTACCTTATAAAAATTTAAAATACATTCCTTGAGTGAGGCTGGAATATGATTATAGTGATGGTAAATTGATTTTGGTGCAAAAACCATTTGGTGTCTCTGAGGTGGTGTCTCGGTCCACACACAGAAACCTAGAAATCTAGTTCTTAATTCTGTCCCCCCATCTATCATGGCAATCTTATTTAAGGATTGAAGAGGTGTGACTTTTCATATTCACACTCTGTGTAGAGATTGACAGAAAATATTTTAATGCCTTACACCTAGAAATAATTTGGTATGGAAACACCTTTAGGCTGTTAAAATAAACTCAATATTAAAAAGTGAAACAAAATCTTGTTCTCCATTTAATATTTTTCAAGTAATAGATTTTCTTAGAAGCGTGGTACAATGTCCTTTTATGCTATAAGTGATAAATATTTATAATAAAGACAATATGGACAATTCTTTATTTTTTTCGAAGGGGAGAAGGGGGAGAAGGGGGAGAGGGGAGAGAGAATCTTAAACAGGCTCCATGTCCAGCGCTTTTGGGGGGTGGGGGGGTGGTAGAGAGGGTGAGAAGCAGACTCCCCACTAAGCGCAGAGCCCAATGGGGCTCACAGCCCTGAGATCATAACCTGAGCAGAATGCTTAACACCAAGTGAGTCATGCAGGCGCCCCCAACATGGACAATTCTTAACCATCATGTATACATATTGAAAGAGTCTGAAAACTGGAGTTCTAACAAGTCTGTTTTAGCTGTGCAACTAGGCAAAATTATTTCATCTTAAGTTTTTCATCTCAAAACTCAAAACTATAATGTTGGTTCTAACTATACCACAGTTTAAGGATCAAATAAGATATTAGATATAAAAAACCTTTCACAAAGTTGAAAATATTGAGCAAATGTAAGCTGTTATCTCACATAGTTCAACTGGAACAAGGTATCGAGTGTCAAGTTTTTCGTATTTTTTGAGGAGTTACGAATCCCTTGTTTACTTGGCTATAAAAAATAAGATATGCCCCAAGTCATACAGAAAAATTTTTGTCCTTGATCTATACTATGGAAGGTTCATATAGTTATAATCAAGATCCTTTGAGCAGTCAGTTTGAAATCTTTTGATGTTCAAAAATGTATCTACCTAATAATAAATACTATTTAATAACAATATGTATTACAAGGGATAATACCATTTTTCAAATCTATTATTATGTCACTCTGTTAATCAGATATTTAACAACTAGGAGAGTTATAATATTCCCATGTAACTCTATTACACCTAGATGAGACTGTTTTACTGAAATGATTAAAAATGTATACCTTAACTAACTGTAAGAAGATAAACTAAACTCACATTTTATTCTTTTATAAGAGAAAAACAATATTTATATCTTTTACAGTTACATATAAATTTTTCTCTTAAAGCTTAAAAAACTTAAAACTTATAGTCAGTCCTACCTTTAGTTTGAATTCAAGCTGCGGCATGACAGATAGTAACAAATGAGGATCTATTGCAAAAAGTTCCTGAATCAGATCAAATACATGTTCTGACAAATCACTTACTGATGATCTTCCCAGCACCAGGACTTGATTGAAAAACTAAAGGAGATATTAAACAAAAATAAAATATCTATTTCACTTAAACACTTGGACAGACTTTTTTAAATAAACCTGTCTAAAAAAGATATAATTAGGCATTACATATACAACTGAAGGGGATGAAACATATTTCAGTTACTAATATATGATAGAATAGTCACTAAAACAGAAAAAACCTCTAAATGTCTAATTATGAATGTAATAGGGAAAAAGGAATTCAGTTGTTAGCTTTTTTCCAAATTAAGATGGTATTTCTAGGAATCTTCCATAAAAACAACTTTGATAGTTTATGTAATTCACTATAAAAAATTTTATAGATAAATTTCCTTAAAACAGAAAAATTTTAAAGTCTCAATCTTTTTGCCTTTTACTTAAGTCTGACTAATTTTGCCATGAGTTTAGTAATAAAGAGTACTTAAAGGTGGGGGCTGAATTCTTATTTTTTTAAATGCCCAAAGTCAAAAAGATTTTGAATGAGAGTATCAAGAGAAAAAAAGTGATGATACCAAAGCTAACTGATAATTTAAAAGAATGCTAGGAAGAAACAAAGAGAATATCAAAAGCACCAATTAAAAGATACCTAACATTCCCTGCCAATACACATACATACGTAGGAAAAAAAATATTAAATTTAAAAATGCTAGAGGCAGCTGCACATAACTGATATAGCCTGTATATTTGGTAGTATCATCAAACAGTATATTTCCTTTGAAAACCAACACATGTTAAAAATACTAAAATATTCAAAAATACTCATATTTACTATGCACACCTTGGAAAGATAAAAAAATAGTTTTAAAAAATACACATATACAAAAATGATCACACATAGAACACTAATTCTGGAAGGATATACTAAAGTCTATTGGTAATGGTTATTTCTGAAAACTGAGATTAGGGTATCCAGAGTTGAAGAGAAACACCTTCCACGATATATTCTTTTGTGAAAAGAAACTTATCTTTTACCATGTTTAAATATTAGTTTAGTAATATAAATAATACTAATAATTCATACCATTAATATACTCTCACCTGGGTTTTTATATGTGGAAAATAATTCAACAACAGATAAATGCTATACTCAAGAAAATAGCTATTAAAGGAAAACACTGAAATAATCTAAATGCAAAATAATAAGGAAACGGTTAGATAAATTATGGATATATGTCAATTCAGAGAAATATTTATGGTCATTTATATTAAAAAGAAATAATTTCAAAATAGAGAAAAATCATAAATACAGACAATTCAAAATTTTACAGAGTATGTGAAAAAATAGACATGAATGTGAGCAAATGTGCAAACAATGGAATGAACTGCTATATTAGGAAGAATTAAAAATTATTTTTTATTGTAGATTAATTTATTGATTTTTAAGTTAAAAAAACTTCAATAAAGAAAAAAGTATTTTTATTAATATACAACAGCTATTTAAGAGAGAAACAAAAGAGTTCAGAGGAATGACCTAGAAAAATAAAGGTAAAGAAGGAAGGAGAAAGCGAAAGAGATCAGCATACTCAGGAGATAAAAAGTTAAATATAAAGGCAGCAAAAGAGGGGTGGGAGTTGTGGACAAGTTTTTATAAGATATCCTCTTACGCCATTTAAAAATAATGTCAAAGCTTTCACAGTTATATTGGATTTGGTCACATCTGGATATATCAGTTCTTTTATGTATTTGTTTTAAATAGATGAAACCGTTTACAGGCTAAACAAAACTATATATGAAAGGTCTCATTAATTAATACAATGGATTAAGAATTATACAATTATGGAATAAATATAAACAGAAATACATACATTGGCAATGCATGCCTCAATAGTTTGGACTGTCCTTTTCAGTAAGACTTTTGCAAGGTCAAAGGACTGTTTATTTAAGTTCTGAAACACAATAAAAATATGCAAAGTTACAAATGAATTTGTGAATTTATGAGAAAGAACCATGATAACACTATAATTTTCAAATTGCCAAACTATAAAGCAAAAAATATCACTAAACCCCATTAAAGGTTTTACCTAATATTCTCTAGTCAAATGGTCTTAAATGCAGAAGTTGCAAATAGCACTGTAAATAAAAAACTAAAATATATTAGACAGCCAAAGTCAAACTCTTTTTTTTGTTTAGTTTTATTAAACTGAAAATGGACTTAAGGCTTTTTGGGTTTGTTAACCAATCTGACCTGCCAATTATACCCCTGTATTCCAAATAAATACACCAACCTCCCACCCACCCAACACCCATGTAACCCACCATCCTAAGTACTTCATTGTTTTATCAATGTGTGATCTAAGAAATAGTACACGTGGAAAGTGTTCCAAGAAAAACACTTGGTCAATTAAGATAGTTTTGAAACACGGATTACTGTGTTTGCCCCTCAAGATTACCAGTGCACTATAAGAAATTAAAGGGTCTGAGAAAGGCCACAGAAAAGACATATTCAATTTTTAAAAACATATTTGGAAATGGATTCCTTATTTTAAAGAGTACCTATCAGCATCTCTATACTTTGAAGTTTTGGACTAAACAGATTCATTCACCATCATCTTGTACCTCTCCCAAAAAAGAGGCTGGGAAACCCTATACTCTAGGTGAGTAATCAGCAAAATTTTTATGCAAAGAGCCAGATGGAAATATTAGGCTTTTTGAGTCATACAGTTACGCTGCAACTACACAATTCTGCTGTTGAGTGTGAAACAGCCACAGACAAAATGAAAATGAATGAGCATGGCTGTACTCAAAAAAAAATTTTACATAAATGGGTAATGAACTAGATTTGTTCTACAAGACATAGCTTCTTGACCCTTGCTCTAAGATTTTATTCCACTGAAAAAAGGGTAAGAAATTAACTCAAAATTAAGGTAACCTTTCTATTTCCTAAAACAGTATTATATATTTCCTAATCATAAAAATACTAACGAGAATATAAACACCAAATATGCTATCTATTCCTCTGTTTTTCCCCTCTTCAATTTGTCTGACATGTCCCCCCCAACCATTACTCTCAAAATTTTGGCAAATTACAGATTCATTTGAATTAATAAAATGCAAATTAATATTTGGAAGCAGAAGAATAACTTCTAATTAATTGCATTATTAGATAAGTGCATTATTAGATACACTGTTCATCTAACATCTGATAATAAGTCACTGAACCATTAGAAGAAAAGAGAGGGAAGGTAAATATCAAAAATACTGTACGACTGAATCCAGCCCTATGGTGGAGCTTGTGGAAAGCTAAGTCCTTCAGGTCCTTAGGAAGAAGTTAACAGAGAAAAACAGAAAAAACAAACAGGGAGAAATATACAGCTATGAATCATCTCTTTCCCCTTAACATTAAACCATATAGTTCCTGCTTCTGCCCAAATCTTTTTCTGAAAATGCCCAAGAAAAATGGATTCTGAGAAGAAATACAATTCCTATGTCCCACATCTATGTTACAAAGAAGGAACTACATTTTCCTTCCCAAAAAATCCTACAACAAACAAACAAACAAACAAACAAAAAAAACCCAAAACAAAAAACAAACACCTAACCAAGACAGTACTTTCTAATTCCCACATTACAGGTAAGTGAATGTGAAAGATTTTTGTATTCCAGAAAACAGGAAGCACTTTGCTGAATAAAAATCTTCTATATGTTAATCAATAAATCTCCTAAAAATAATAGCTCTAAGACTGATGTGTGTTACACTATTTTATTGGGGCTAGAAAATGATAGTGGGAATAATTATGTGAAATTGCAAATGGTGGAAAACAATTATGTTTTATATGTATAGTAGTATCTTTAAACATAACCCTTAATATCTTCATATTATACAGACCTTATGTGCAGGAATGAGGTTAATAAGAATGGAGTCCAATAATTCTTGAGTAACTCCATCACCCTCCATGATGATAGAACTCATCAAGTCTAGCATGTGCATTTGTACCTTCTTATTGTGGCTATTGCTTAAAGAAAAAAAAAAAATCAGGCTTGAAAATTATACTTCCTAGTTTAAAACAACTATCTCAGATAAAAGAATTGTTACTTGAAGAAAGCATACTAATTAATGGCACAGAAATTTTGACTGTTCTATTTACTTTCTCGCTCTGCTAACTATAACAACAGCTGTAAGGTATTGTTGTAAAGTAGTTTACAAAATCAAAGACTTTTAAAATGAATTAAGTCACCACACAATTAGGAGTCAAAGAGTAGGTTAAATCAACCAAACAAAAACATCAACTTCAAAGAAAGGACATCTTGCTTATATGTCCCCAGATTTTAAAAGGTGATAAAATTTTAATTAAGAAAACAAAAAAAAGTACAAGATAATGATAATAGACAAGTTTTCATCCTTTTACATATTAATACATTTTCACAAAATGAAACTATAAACATCAAGAAAACCTTAGCCAATACAAGTAATTTTAGCTATAATATCTTTGTCACTAGAGATTTTAGTTTACCAATACTGAAAATCAAAAGTCTGATATAAAATTTTTATCAGAATTTATGACTAGAAGTTTCTGAAAATGTCATTTAGGTATCTCACAAAGAATTTCAAACAAAATGAGACGTCAACAAGGTATAAAGCCTAGAATCAGAGTTAGTCCTCCTCTCTAAGCCATGCCAGTGAAGAATCAACTGTAGGCCTCCTCAATAAATACGTCTCTACCGCTGATCCAGTACTTAACCTAAGACGTAGTAGAACATCTAGGCTTCTCTCCTTTGACTACATCTTAACTAAAGACTGGAAATCTCCATTTTCACATTTATCAGATATATATGTAAAGATAAATCAAGAGAAATGATACAATTTAGTGATACTACAGATACAGGGATACAGAAAAGTTTAAATCAAGGCAAAATTCTAACATCATTTATGTATCTCTTACTTTTTAAAAAATTAACCTGACATAATGTATAAGAGACCTGTTGAACACTTGATGGTAAAATGCAAGATGAAAATTTCTGAAGCTGGTGGAAAAATTCTCACATTAGACACACTGTTTCCTAAAACTTTTAGAAAGATACCCCTATAGCATACCCTCTTTCAAATATCCTGTTTACCAAAGGCCAAGATGATGAAGGATCAACCATATAGTGTTAGGGGAGTTGTGCAAGGGTGAAAAAATAGAAATAATTCAGATTGATGCAAAAAAACTGAAGAGAGTATTTAACTCTCAGACCCAAATATACTTACGGATAGGAAAGAATTAGAGTGAAGAGAAACAAAACAGCTTAAAATGATTTCCACAGGTTCTAGTCGAGATTCAATAATTGGGTAAGACTTATCCTCCTACCTCAAACTAACTAAAAGACTGAACAAAATATATGAAATGACAGTTTTCAGACCTGCACATCATGCACATGTTGCTGAGAGAGGAAAACATTTTCCAGGCCGCAGTAAGGGAAGGGAAGATACTGACAGAGCCTAGTGGTTTTTCTAAGTCTGGAAAGACTAGAGTTTGCAGGGCAGAATATCAGAGGGGGGAGACCTATTCAGAGAGCAGGTCTGTAAAGGTATCCCTGAGTCTTCAAGTGTTTGCTTACTAATCAGCACATGTATGTGAAGAAATGACTTGAGTCTGGGAAAGGCACCACCTGAAAGGAGCAGAGGGAATAATCCCTGGAATTTACAAAGGTCTTAGAATAGAACATGTTCCAACCAAATTGGAAAATCTCACAATTCACAGGGTATCTTGTAATCAGAATGGTAAATCCACATATCCAAGCTCAACGAGCCCCAAGCACAAGAAAAAGAAAACTCCACCATGGTACATCATAATCAAATTGTTTAAAACCAGTAATGAAGAGAAAATATTAAAAGCAGGTAGAGAAAAAAGATACATTATGTACAGAGGAACAAAGATTAAAAATGACAAAAACTTTTCATTAGAAACAATGAAAACCAGAAAATGGAGCAACATCTTTAAAAGTACTAAAAGAGAAAAAACAAACAAACAAACAAAAAAAACAAAAGAAAAAAGCCTATCAACCTAGAATTTTTACCATGAAAATAACTTTCAAAAATGAAAGTGAAATAAAGACATTTTCAGACATACAAAACCAAAAGAAATCTATCAGCACAGACGAGAACTATAGAAATGTTAAAGAAAATCCTTCAGACTGAAGAAAAACAATACCACAAAGAAATCTGCATTGACACAAAGAAATGAAGAACACCAGACAAATGGTAAATGTGTCAGTAAATACAAAATAATGAGGTCCTCTTTCAAACGGCAAGTCTTTTATTTGTTTGAGAGAGCACGAGCAGGGGAAGGGGCAGGAGAGGGAGAGAATCTTTAAGCAGACTCCCTGCTGAGCAGGGAACACATGGCTCAGTTCCAGGATCCAAGATCATGACCTAAGCCAAAATCAGGAGCTGGCCAATCAACCGACTGAGCCACGTTGGCGCCCCCAAAAGCCAAGTCTTTTATTTACTCCTAGCTCACTATGAATTAATTAATTAGGTCAACAACAAACTTACATCTTTAGGTTCAGGAAATAAAAATATTAATGGATCAAAGAAAGGGTGTGTGTATGTATAAGTAACTGTGAGAGGAAAGTATAATGGCAGAGTGGGAAGTGGACTAAGTTGACAGTAAAGGTCAACAAGGGGGCAGAATGATGACAATTTCAAGAGTTTTAGAATTTTGTTGGCAATTTTAATTTTAAAAGAAAAAGTTGCAAAAATGTGACCGGATACAAAAAATGGCCACAAATTGTTCTATTTCTATATTCATATGTCTTTAAAATTCTGTTCCTCCACGAAGATATGGAGTCTATCTAACAAACCTCTGAATCTGGGCTTGACTATGTACTTTCCTTGGCCAATGAAACATAAGTAAACATGAAGTGGGCAGAGGTTTAAAAAGTGCTTGTGAGGTAAAGCACACTCTTTCTTGCTATTTTTGAAACCCAGTCAGCATTTGAAGAGGCCTGGGCTAGCCAGCTGGATGATGAAAGTGTGAGAGAGAGAGACACATGACCTAGTTGTCCTATTACCTCAGCCAACTGCCAGATGTCCTGTCAACAGACTGCAAATAGAGGAGTGAGCCCAGCACAGACAAAAAAAACTGCCAAACAGAATTAGGAGTCAAATACAATGGGGTCTATTTTTAAGCCAGCAAGTTTGGGGTTGTTTTGTCACGCAGCAAAAGCTAACTAACACAAAAGGTAAAGTTTATACAGTTTATCATTTTTTTCATGCCTTCATTTAGTTGCCAAAGGAAGCTTTTTCTCATGCAGTCTCTTTATAAGCTTCCATTTCTACACCAGTTCAATCCAGTTCCTTCCTATATATGCCAGGTTAAATTCTATTCCTATCATTCTAGGGAAAGAGAAAGCATGATAGCATAGTGTCCATTAAAAAAAATCTACAGAAAACTCTAGAAATGTGCTATCCAATATGGAAGCCATTAGCCAATAGCCACATGGCCACTGAAAACTTGTAGTATGGACAGAGCCACAAGTTGAAATAATAATGCTTTTGTGGATGCCTGGGTGGCTCAGTCAGTTAATTGTTGGACTCTTGATTTTAGCTCAGGTCATGATCTCAGGGTCATGAGACTGAACCCCACATCAGGCTCCGAGCTCAGTGGGGAGTCTGCTTGAGAGTCTCTCTCCCCCTCTGCCCTTCTCCCTGCTCACATATGTTTGCTCATGCTCTCTCTCTTTAAAATAAAAAAACCTTAAAAAAAAAATTAATGCTTTTGGATATTGTAGAATAAAGTATATTATTGAGATAAATCTAATTTGTTTCTTTTTAACCTTTCTTAACATGGTTACTAGAAAATTTAAAATTTATATGAAAACATTATGTTTGCATATAGTGCAATGCTGTAGAACATATCTCATGATGGTTTACTATACCAAAAAAAAAAAAGAAAAAAAAAAAGCCAAAAAACCCCACAAAAAAACCCCAAACAAACAAACAAACAAACAGACAAAAACAGAATAAAACACAACAAAACACTGAACTGAAATCAGAGTTTAGGCTCTCCTGTTCAGTGATTTGTCTTTGGGCAAGCCACCACACTCCCCTTCCCTATGCATTAATTTCCCTATTCTCTAAAGAAGGAGCAATGCTTAAGGTTTTTTCCTCGCTTGAAAATGAGAAGTCAGTGTGCTTAACCACTGAGGTACTGATTTTCAGCACTCACTAATGCTATTTACAATACTTATAATTTCCACTTCATAATTTAGTATTTCATTACATTTATCACATATATCACATTTATGAGTCAACCAATATAACTGATACCTAACTAAAATAGTGGTATAAAAGCAAAAGCAGCTTTCAGACAACAGGTTTGGTTATTTTCCTCTTCATGTCAAGTCTTCTAAGGGAAACATTTCATTATAAATCTAAAAGATCACAGTCACAGGCAAAGTACACAATATTTCAAAATGCACAGCAAGGAAAGAGACAAACAGAAACGCTTAAAAAATAACTTACTTGATCACTGAGAAGAGAGTCCTAAAAAGCTGAATAAAAATTTCATTGCAATCTTCCAATTCGAAGCAGATGTTGTACGATTTAACCCAAGCTAAGTTCTTAAATAAATAAATAAATAAATATTTACACTTGCACAGAATAGCTACACAAAAGCAAATTCAATACTACAATTTATAGAATTATAAATCTCTATTAAAGCTTACAAAACTATATAAAATTAAAGTTGTTAAAGTTATCATATACTGTGACCTTTAAAGAGACATATATCTGTTGGCATTAACTTACTCTAGTGGAAAAATACTAAATTGTTAGAGATTAGTAGATCTATATATATATAATATATACACACTAAATATAAGCAAGTGGAAATTAATTCAACTTAATCCCTCTTCAGATTAGAAAGAATAAAAACAGAAAGATGAAAATAGAGTTTCAAGTAATAGGTTTTCCAGTAGAATGTACTTTATCTTAAAAAAGACATTTTATTAAGTGGGATTTGTATAAAACAAAAAATTCATCCTGCATTATAAAGTTACTGTAAGGAATTTTCTATTACATGAATAGTGTGATATTTATTAAATTTTATTTTTACCTCTAATAAATAAAAGTATCTATTAAACTGTGGGCTCTTTGTATCCTCCAAACCTTTTAATTGTCTGGTAATAAACAAAAATATGTCCTGTTAAAAAAAAATGATAAAATTAATTTAGACACAAACACTTATCATTCTTTCATAATACACTAATGATAGTCTGTATACATATTCTCCATTAAATACAATAAAAGAAAATTCTCCTTAGCCAAATGACTTGGGACTGGCTTAGTCCATTACTCCAAATAATGAGAACAAAGCAAATTGTATCTTTTAAAAATGATAATAAAAATTATTACTGGCATAAATTTTTAGGCTTTCTCATTCTTGGAGAACCGTAAATTCTCTATCTTGTTGCCCTTTCTTCTACTACAGAACGTCCGCTTTACTCATTATCTTCATCTTGCATCATGGCAAACAATTATCTTCATTTTAAGGACCTGGACAAGAGTCTTTCCATTACTATTTCCTACATGAAAATAGTAATTTTCAGTAGTTTGAATTTGATGTGTGACCACAAACTTGTGTGGAACAAAAACAATAATAGACTGGTTCAAAGGTTGTGCTTTTCATAACAATAGTATGCCATTTCTTAATAAGCTTTCTTTAGAAGTTTTTTTTTTTTTAAGAAGTTTTAACCCAAAATAGAATCAACATGCAAAAAAATGACTTTAGGACAACGGAAAAAAAGGCAGTTCAAAATACTAAAATTTGCTGGGAATAAAAATTATTAAGAATATGAAGTTAGCTCAAAGAGATCAATTTAAAAGAGTTACTCAAACATTTTAACAAAGGCAGAAACCTCTGAGATAAGCACAATATAATTTTGCATGTACTGTGCAGGGTGAAATAATCATCTGAATACATAAATTCTGTTACATTATTGTTTTATAAAGTATCACTAACCCTCTATCCCTTCAATTCAACCACCTGGGCTTTGTCATGGGTTATCATGAAGGTTACATAGAGCAGACAGGGGCTAGTTTGGATCTACATCTTTCAATGCCTCAGTAAAAATACCATTCATTTTTGTGGCTATGCAATGAATTTCAACTGAATAATTCATCTGTTTTACAACTTACGATATAATCTTGTGATGATGACAGGTGAATAATAATAAAAGCTAGTTCTTAAAGGTAAGCTAGAGTATAAAGTATAAAAGTAAAATAATCCTGTAAAGATTTTATTTACCTTAAGTTTATCATGGGAAGTATATGGAGCTTCTGGGGCATAGATTCGAAAAATGTCGGCCAAACAACATGCTACAAGGAGACGCACATCTTTATTGGGATTCCTGAGGAAAAATTCAGATGCAAGATGCAAGGCTAGTGGGAGATACTGCTGTTTTTCATCTTCTGAGTCCTGATCCATATCCATAAAAGTTTTTACTACCATCTGTAAAAGTACATAAAAAGAAAAAAATACTCAACTCCTGATATTTACAAATTAGAAGACATATATTTTAAAAAACTCATGTCCATTACAACACAAACTATTAATTAGTTACTATCAGAAGATTCACAATCAATTTGTGTAAATCTTCATTTAAGACTCTAATCATTTTAGGTAAAATTTTAACCCAGATAAAAAAAATTCTTAGTCTCATACATACAACCATATCCGTTTGATATTCTGCAATATCATCAATTATGTTTCTTTTATATTTTATTATCAAAGCTGACTTGATTTAGGCTCTTTCAAACTGCTCTCATTTCACACTTTAGTAGGTTTTGGGTTTCACAAAAGAAAACCATGTTTAAGCATTTTTATGTAGCTATACTACTTTTTTTTTTTTAAAGATTCTATTTATTTATTTGACAGACAGAGATCACAAGTAGGCAGAGAGAGAGAGGAAGAGAAGCAGGCTTCCTGCTGAGCAGAGAGCCCGATGCAGGGCTTGATCCCAAGACCCTGGGATCATGACCTGAGCCAAAGGCAGAGGCTTTAACCCACTGAGCCACCCAGGCGCCCTGTAGCTGTACTTCTGATTAAAAGTTGTAATTATAAAATAACCTCTCTTATTGTTTGTAATTACAAAAATTATCAAATGTACATTTTAGAATCACTCTAAAACAAAAACCCCATGCTCATTATTTGGAAGAATACTGTTAAAATATTCATACTGCCCAAAGCAGTCTACAGATTCAATGCAATTCCCATAAAAAAAAAAACATAGTATTTTTTCACAGAACTACAACGAAGAATCCTAGAATTTCTATGGAATCACAAAAGACCCTGAATTGTAAAAGCAATTTTGAGAAAGAAGAACAAAGCTGAAGGCATCATAATCCCAGATTTCATGGCATACCATAGAGCTGTAATAATCAAAACTACAGGGTTAATAGGGGATGGGAAAATGAGTGAAGGGGAGTTGTAAGCACAGGCTTCCACTTATGGAATGAATAAGTCATGGGGATGAAAGAAATATTGTCAGTGATATCGTAATGATGTTTTATGGTGAGAGACGGTAGCTACACTTGTGGTGAGCACAGCATAATGCATACAGTTGTGGAATCACCATGCTGTACATATGAAACTAATGTAACATTGTGTGTCAGTTACACTTTAATAAAAAGAAAAAAGAGAATTAAAAAAAAAAAACCACTAGGGTACTAGCACAAAACATATAGCTCAGAAATAAACCCATGCCTATATGGTCAATCAATCCACCAAAGAGGAAAGAATATACAATAGGGAAATGACAGTTTCTTCAATAAGTGGTGCTGGGAAAACTGGACAGCTACATGCAAAAGAATAAAACTGGACCACACACAAATATAAAATGGATTAAAGACCTAAATGTAATACCTGAAACCATAAGACTCCTAAAGGAGAACACTGGCAGTAATCTTTTAGACATTGACCTTAAGCAGTATTTTTCTGGATCTGTCTCCACAAGCAACGGAAACAAAAACAAAAATAAACACCTGGGGGCGCCTGGGTGGCTCAGTGAGTTAAGGCCTCTGCCTTCAGCTCAGGTCATGATCCCAGGGTCCTGGAATCAAGCCCCACATTGGGCTCTCTGCTCAGCAGGGAGCTTGCTTTCTCCTCTCTGTCTGCCTGCCTCTCTGCCTGCTTGTGATCTCTGTCTGTCAAATAAATAAATAAAATCTTAAAAAAAAAAAAAAAAAACAAACTCCTGGGACTACATCAAGCTAAAAAGCTTTTGCACAGCAAAGAAAATCATCAATAAACCAAAAAAGGCAACCTACTGAATAGAAGATATTTGCAAATGATATATCTGGTAAGGGGTTAATATCCAAAATATATAAAGAACCCGTAAGACTCAACAATAAAAATACCGAATAATCTAATTTTTAAAAATGGGCAGAGGACTCGAACAGATATTTTTCCAAAGAAGATATAAAGATGGCCAAGACACATAAAGAGATGCTCAACTAATCACTAATCATCAGGAAAATACAAATGCAAACAATGCAATATCACCTCATACCTGTCAGAACGGCTAGTATCAAAAATACAAGAAATAACAAGTATTAGAGAAGATGTAAAGAAAAAAGGACCCCTCCTGCACTGTTGGTGGGAATGTAAATGTGTGTAGCCACTGTGGAAAACAGCGCTGAGGTTTCTCAAGAAATTAAAAATAGAAGCACCACATGCCCCAATAATTCTACTTCTGGGTGTTTACCTGAAGAAAATAAAAAAACTAATTAGAAAAGATACATATACCCCTACGTTTATTGCAGCATTATTTACAATAGCCAAGATACAGAAGCAACCTAAATGTCCACCGATAGAGAATAAAGGCGATAACACACAAACACAAACTCATACTCACACACCAGAATATTAATCTACCATAAAAAAAAAAAATTGAAATGTTGCTATTCATGGCAACATGGATGAACCTTCAGAGTATTATGCTAGGTGAAATAAACCACACAGAAGATGACTTTACCATATGTATTGAATTTTATCATTTTTTTCTGTGCATGCTGAGGTGATCATATTTTCCTCCTAATTCTGTAAATAAAGTAAATCTCACTGACTGGTCTTCTAATTTTTTTTTTAAAGATTTTATTTATTTATTTGACAGAGAGAGATCACAAGCAGGCAGAGAGCCCGATGTGGGGCTCGATCCCAGGTCCCTGAGACCATGACCTGAGCCGAAGGCAGAGGCTTTAACCCACTGAGCCACCCAGGCGCCCCGAAATTGTAATTTCAATTACTTTAATTCACAAAAGAAACTGACCAATAACAGAGATTTCTAAAGACAACTCTGTCCATTTTATTGTTTTTCCTTATTTTAAAGAGACTGTATGAAAAGGGGGAAGGGCAGAAGGAAAGGGAGAGTATCTCAAGCATTTTCTGCTCTAAGCATGGAGCCCAACATGGGGTTCAATCCCATGACCCTGAGCCAAAACCAAGAGCTGGACGCTTAATCACCTGAGCCACCCAAGTGCCCCCAACCTTGTCCATTTTAGAAATGAGGTTGTACTGGCTTCAAACAAATTGATAAGTGATCCCTTTTTCCTTACTATATGGAAAGTTTATAATAATGCTGCTTTTATCTTTCTTCCATATATATATATATTTTTTTTTAAAGATTTTATTTATTTATTTTGACAGACAGAGATCACAAGTAGGCAGAGAAGCAGAGAGAGAGAGAGGAGGAAGCAGGCTCCCTGCTGAGCAGAGAGCCTGATGCGGGGCTCGATCCCAGGACCCTGGAATCGTGACCTGAGCCGAAGGCAGAGGCTTTAACCCACTGAGCCACCCAGGCGCCCCTCTTCCTTATATATTTAGTGAAAGTCAAATGCTCGAAGAATTATAATGGAATTTAGAAAATATTCTGGACTAAATGATAATGAAAATATAAACTATCAATAGTTGGGGGACGCAGTTAAATTTGTACTTATAGGAAATTTACAGCCTGAAATGTATAAGCTACAAAGGAAGAAAGAATGAAAAACCAGTGATCTACATTTCCATTGCAAGCAGTTAGAAAAATACCAAATTAAATAAAAAGGAGGTAGAATCAAAGGGGGGAAAAGTTCAAACAGACGTCAATGAACTTGAAAAACATACAAAAGAGAAAAAAACCAAACAATGCCAAACATTGACTGTTGAAAAGACTAATAGAATGGACATGTCTCTTTAAGAATAAATCAAGGAGAAAGAAAGCAGGCACAAACTGCCAATATCAGGAATTAAAAAGAGGACATATTATATTATTCATCCTGATAAAAATAATAATACACTGGAGAGGGCTGTCACACAAAATACACTATCTGGATAATTCTATTTCTATGAAAAGGAACTGAATCTGAAATTTAAAACCTTCCCAGAAAAAAAATCTCCAATGTTAGATGGCTTCACTGGTGAAAAAAGTCCCAAGACTATGTAGATCAGTATAGTACTAACTACTCTGGTTGAAATACCAAAACTCTCCTGCCATTCTGCTACAGCTTTGTATCCTGGTTTGGTATGCAGTTACTAGTTAGTGAGAGCCTACTTACTATTCAACTACAAACATTCCTTTGAGATGTTAAAGCCTTATTTTTGGTTATCTATTAACATTTTAGTAGAGATTATCTAGTTGGAATTAATAATATAATACAGAAGATAAACACCTGAAGTTTAGGAATTCTTAGAGAAATAAAGAGCACCAAATGGGAGTTGTGAAACTGAAGTCATCAGAGACATAAAGTATTCTGAAGCAATCTGAACAAGTTCAGCGGGAGGCAAGAGACAAAGTAAAAAAGGGCAAACTGTACTCCTTCCTAAATGCCATAACTAAGGAGTTTAAAATTTTATTATATAAGAAATGGGAGTTCCGGGGCACCTGGATGGCTCAGTGGGTTAAACCTCTGCCTTCCGCTCAGGTCATGATCTCAGGGTCCTGGGATCGAGCCCCGCATCGGGCTCTCTGCTCAGTAGGGAGCCTGCTTCCTCCTCTCTCTCTCTCTCTCTCTCTGCCTGCCTCGCCACCTACTTGAGATTGAAATAAATAATATCTAAGAAAAAAAGAAAAGAAAAGAAAAGAAAAGGAGTTCCTATTATATAGGAAATAGGACAAATACATGGAAAAATCGATGTATTTGTCATCTATTGCTGTATGACAAAACACCCCCAAACTCTGTACCTTAAAACAATACACATATACTTGTCACACAGTTTCTATGCAGGTGGAATTGGGAGAGTGACTTGGCTTGGTGGCTTTGCTTGGACTCTCTAATGAAATTGTAATCCATCAAAGCGGTAATCATCTGAAAGTCTAATGGGCCTACCAGGTGTGCTATGAAGGTAGCTCATTTACATGGTTGGTAAGCTGGCACTGGCTTTTAGCAAAAGGCATCAGGGGCTCTCCAGACAGCTGCTCTAAATGTCCTCATGGGATGGCGCCGGCTTTCTCCCAGAGAGCGATACAAGAG